AGTCATTTCCTATCATTCAAGAATGATACGTCCACATTTATATACAAGTACATGTACAGTGTACATGTATGTACATTGTACTACATTTAAAGACATGTGTACATGCATGCAAACATGAGCTTATGGGCATAATTTCTACAGTGGCTACTGTAACAATTTTATGCATGAAGTCCAGGCACCACTTTAATTAAGCACCTGTATACTGGTACATGTACATAAATGCCAAAACAGCTATTACATTATGTTATGACACGACTGCTGGGACACCAGACCAATTAATGTCTCCTTGCTACATCCCACAATGTACCGTACTCTAGCAACCAAGCGCTGGAAATCTGCAGGTATCGAAAACACCTACAGTTGTACAATGTACATGTACTGGTACTTCCTGCAAAACTACCAGTCCATGTAATTGATAATAATTATGACATAAATGTTGACCTCTTTAAAAGGGGGAGGCGCGGAATGACAAACTTGCATAATATCTCGCTCACAGACAATGTGACACATTACTTGGTAGAACTACATGTACATGTACCGGTACGTGTAAATTACAACGTACTGGCCTTTCTCAATTTTCAAGGTTTTCACTCAGTTGCGCTTGGTAGAGAGATATCGTATTCACATCAACTCAACCTCAAAAACTTTTCCCTTCTGTCCACAGACTTTCAGAATTTTGGGGGTTATTTCATTTTCAAGTCCAGCCAGTTATCACAATCACCTGTACATGGTGTAAAAAAAAATCTTAAAGATCTCAAGTCGTTTTACTTACAGGGTCCCTGAATTGACACTTCACAGGTCAACCGCCTGCATAAGTTTCACTACTCTGAAAATTTATTTGTGTTTACCAGGTACTTTAGATGTTACCAGTAGGCTGGTGAAAAAAAATCCCCCAAATCAAGCCAGGGTCTTGAGTTCCCAAGATCCGTCATTATCGATTGTGGAAACACGATAAATTGGAAGTTCCGACAGGCAAGAGAAAGCATGCATGCTTTCATCAAACCATCCAGCCGCATGCTGGATCCAGTTTCACACTTGGTCGGAACTTGGGCTAACTGTGGGCTCAAAGCCTGGACGTCGCGTGAATCTCCCCCCCCAAGTAAACGAATAGGATGCACCAACTCATTCACTATCTAATGAGAAGTTATTCAGGAAATGCTTGTGAGAAGGAAATGGCCCGTACAGGATGCGGATAAATGGATCGCTGATTAAATGTACTGACAGTCATGACTCCGCGGGTAAAATACTGCGCCACAAGAAGCCGTCGTAGCAAGTACGATGACCAATACATGACAAATCACATACTATCGTACCGTAGGAAATTGTCATGGGTAAGGAAAACTACACTTTAAGAATGTACACACACAAGATTCTTTCAAACCTCGACTTTTTTTAAACCTTAACTCATACAAGACTTCCAAAAGTACAACAAACCAAGGTTGAAAAGGCTTTGACTAATGATTAATTAATAAGGAATGAAAAAAGGAGAAATGCAACAAATTTTTCTCAGAATCACTTTTTGTACATGCTTAAACTCTTCTTCAGTGTGTAAAAACTGTCCTTCTTCAGTGTGTAAAAGCTGTCCTTCTTCAGTGTAAGTGTACTATAACTGATTTAGCCTAAGACGAGAGTCGTACCTACATGTACACGCACTTGTCCAACTTTTTATGGAAAGGTTGGCCATATGTTACCAGGAGTCAGGTGGTATGACTGAGAATGTATGGAAATACAAGATGTTCCCTTTGACAGTCAGTCACTACAGTATACTCAGTAAAGGGTACCGGACTGTGTTGGTCTACTTTTCTGTACTGCAAAGTTTACACTACCTTAAGTTTTGGGACTCTCAAGCACAGCGCATGTGAGATATTTATAGTCTAAGCATGAAAGACTATTTTAGGACACAAACATGTAGGCTCAATTTCCTTCCAAAAGGTACTTTTAGAACACGAGTCATTATCTTTGGGGGAAAAATTTCGACAAATATTTCAGGAGGAAGAAAGGAAAAGATACCAAATGTCTGGAAATAATTTGCATTCTATTCCTAAAGTCAGTTTGGAACATGCCACAGTTGAACACGCACTTCAAAAATTCAGTTCCGAGAGTCATCGTCACTGAAAAAGACCCCTGTGCACGTGACTGCTGCCTTATGTGCTGTTTCTAGGAAAACTTTGACCAAGTTCTGAATTATTTCAGCGGAAACAGAGTTTTAAAGTGAAACTTGGAATATGGGTGCATGTACATGTATGCCAGGAGGAATTTTGATGAAAATGATTTGGAGAAGAAAAATCCAACTTTGGAAAGTTACTTTGAAAACATTTAGAGCCCTTNTGGGTGTTTAACTTTGTGTGAATGGAGAAGGTTAGGGCCAGCAACCCTTGGGGGTTAGGGTTAATCTATATCATTTACACTTTAATTTTCCTGACTTTCACGAAGTAAGGATTTACCATTACAGGAAAGAATCCTAGAGAGTTTGTGTACAGACACCACTTGACACCCTGTGCACAAATACTATGAGATTGTTCTAAAAATTGTGTTTTCTATGTGAATTCATACATCAATATCTTCACTGCCAAATTTGAGTTTTTAAGACATTTTATTGCTTTCAGATGTCTAGTGGGTCACATCAAGGAAAGATTATGGAAGTGGCATTCGTGTTTCTTTCCCAATTATGTTTGAGGCCGCTTTGAGAGGAATTTGCCCACCCTTTCACACAAAGTCAAGTCACTAAATTTCATTACTAGGCTATATGTAGACCCGTAAACAGGGCTCAATGAATACTACTCCGTCATAAAATCAAGCGAATGTTTAGTTATGCCCGCGGTTATCCCGGATAAAGTTTTCGAAAGAATCCCTATTAATCGGGACAGGGCCCAGTATACGACAGAGGAGTATTCGTCATAAAATCAAGTGAATGTTTAGTTATGCCCCCGGATATCCCAGATAAAGTTTTCGAAAGAATCCCTATTAATCGGGACAGGGCCCAGTATACGACAGAGGAGTATTCGTTGGGTCCTGTTTACGGGTCTAGGCTATATGAAGAGCATATCAGTCCACTTTTCACATTATGAGGATTACTTTTTGATAAGATCGTAAAAAAAAAGGAGAAAAACAAATGGAGAGTTCGGTATCCACCATTATTCTTCTATTTCACAAATAAAATTTTTGACTGGAACAAAAGACAAATTTATCTCAGACAATTTCAGGTGTTCCAAAGGTGCATAGGCTTGTTGTCAATGAAAATTACAGAACTTGTGGCCAGATGTGAAACTCTTGGTCTTGCCAAATAAATGAGAACAAAAACTGCAGTGGATCTTTAAGTCTATACTGAAGCAAAACTCCTGAAATCCGCAAAAAGAAACAATCTCTAGCTTGTCTAGGCTACCATCAATCATGCCAACTTCAAGTGGATTTTTTTTTGACACCACGAACTGCAAACAATTCGGTGCATGTTTACACGGTAATATAAATGTTGCAGATACAGACAACATCTTTCAGTATTTCGTAATCTGATGTAATGGAAATAAAGATGACCTCCTGAAGTGACGCGTAGGCCCTAGTCATATCATGCTAGCACACACATGGGAGACTTACCCGGGCAATGGTGAGTGGGCACCGGTGCTCCGACCCGCCTTTCAGAGAAAAGCCCCAGGGTGCGCCACCTCGGAGTGTCACGTCCAACGTTCGCGTTCTGGGATCACTTTCGCCCTCCTCCATTTCGTAAGAACTGAATATTTTGCTAATTTCAGATAAAAACTACAGCCATACGCCGGTACAGTTGTGCAGTGACTCAATCAACAATCCAGAGAATCGAAATTCTGCGGTCTATGAGCAGAGGGCACTTCGAGCTGTCGCCTGCAACCGCAGGTCTGGTACCCATTGTTTCCCACGCTCAGGACAATGGGGTAAGGGTAACCATCTAAAAACCTGTGGATAAAATACGGTGGTCAATGAACGACAAATAGTGATCCCGAACGTTTTTTTTATTATTTGTCAAATGGTCAACAGAGGGCAGGCATTCCAAACAGCGGACATGTTTTGAAGTCGCTCTTCTGTTTCAACTTTGCTTGTGTTTTGACAAGATATGTACCATGTTACTGACCTAACACAACAGAAAATGGATAATATCCAGTCTTTTTTACAGAAAATTGTGCACATCCCATCAACTGTCACCGCTTTAAATTTACCAAAACTTGCATTAGTGTACAATTGAAAAAGTTTACAGTAAGCTGTTTTCTAAAATCATTTAACTTGCTTACGACCAGGGGCGGATCCCGGAATTTTTCCATGGGGGGGGGCTGTCAGGCTGGAGATTTTGTTTAATGTCTCGTACACACAGGCAATGCTTTCTAGCTACACCAGAGACTCTTATTTGTAACACTCACCTTGTACACAAGAATCTGCAGGATGCTATCTTGTTTTTAAATTAAGTTGTTTTTTCCCCATTTTTTTTAATCTTTTTTATTTTCTAACCCCCCCCGAATCTGCACCTGTATTGCCATTTATGCAGCTATCTGACATCCATTTTTCTCAATGAAAACTATTTCTTTTTACAAATGTTACTTGAAATTTTCCGTGCTTTTCCAGAGATTGCTGTTGCTTGCTGTCATTCCTTTCGAAGAAGACAGTTTAGCTACATATACTTTACACTTTCTTTTCAAATTATGAACCCAAAATGTGCGCATTGGAAACATGTGAGAAAGGCTTGATCAATGGTAATTTACTTAAAATCAATAATTTAACTTAATTTAAAACAAAAAAGACTAAAATAACTGTTACATTGAGGTATGATGTCTGGAATGACATCACTGTTTTTAGCTCGTATGGAAATTTGTACGAGCATCATAAAACCAACAGGTATCCAAGGTACCACTTAAAATGCTGAGTAAAAATTAAAAATAAGGTCACTTAGAATGAAAAGATGAATTTTCATGGATGTCATAAAAGAGAAATTGCATTGTGTAGCCCTTTAAAAATTTTTGAGAGATGGAACACAGAGAAAGTTGAACACTGAACTGGTGCAGATGTTTTATTTTAGTTCACATTATACAACACAGCTGTACACATACACCTTTGATACTTTACACACATAATTCACCTTTAGCTTTTACCAAATGCAGGGGGGTTAATGTTTACTACAAATTTTACGTACCAATTACAAACTGACATAATATAATTCATCACGAATTTTCCATTTGTTCAAAGGAAATACTACTGTTTGTCTAGGCCACAGACAAATTAATCCAAATGTCATTCAACGTGATGGATATTTTTGTTCAACAAGGCAGTTCAGTAATTTAGAAAAGTCAACGTTGTATGATTTATATAACCAAAATAATTGCAATTTTTTTTTTGCTTGAGTGTCCATTCCTAAAATATACATTTTTTACTTCACACAAAAAAAGAAAGTTCACACACAAATGCACAATTGGAAAAAAAAAATTGCTCAAAGGCACTGCATAGTGATTTACTTTGTTAATGATATTTTTTTTTAATTCTAAAGACTCTTGAAATCTTTGACTTCAATCCAATAAAATTCAGAAATTTAAGAACAGTATGAATACAAGCTCATCCCTTGGGTTGCATGCGAGTACACCGAGTGTGAGTACTAGCGCCAAAGCACCAGACTACTGCTGAACAGCTTTTGAGCTGCTCATTTTTCTCAGGTAGGGTGTACACATTTTTATATTTGCTGTAAGTGTAACCAAGAGAGTCTCATTCCTTTGACTGTACTCAACGCCGTAGCTGAACCTGAGTACGAGTATTAAAACAGAAACACGAGTCTACAATTTCAGTATCGAGGTGCTAGACCACTAAGGAGCACCCAAGGGGGTGGGCTTGAGCTCCTATTAGGTTTTCAATTTGTCAAATTTATTTTAAACAAAGATAAAATTATACACCTACATCTGAAACTAAACTACTAACTCTGATACGGCCTTACATTCCAGCCCCATGCAGCACAATACGGGGAAGGGCGCTTGGACATCATGAGATGTTTCAAGGGGTAAATTCCGGTCAAAAACAAAAATACCAGCCCCCCTCACGGCACATCCTGGGTGCACGCGCCACTGAATTAGTTTCCCCGTGAAGCTTTAATTTACACTTATGTGTGTGAATGAAACCTTATCTCTTCAATCCAAATCAAGTACGCATTCATGGGTAAGAGTAAAAGTTGAAGTACTAGTTCTGGATGAGTATCCTACATCTCAAGTGCCACATTGTTTCGACTCGTACTCGGGTCCTTGTTTTTTTTCTGTATTTGCACTCAGTGCCAACAAGAGTACTTTCAGTACCAAATACTGAAAGTCAATGTGATATGCATTATAAATATGAGGGCACACAGATCAAAAGCGTGCATACGATTTATTTTTCAATGGAATTACCGTGATTCTGTTACCACACACTCTCCCTGGACAAACAAAGCAATTAAACAGTTTCTCGACTATGGATGCAATCCGTTCTTAAAGAAGCTAGGGAATTTATACATTAGTCCCCACTTTCCACTGAGTGTGTGTCTAGAGCTTTCTACGAGAGGCTTGTATAAATTATATACAAAATAAAAAGAAATTCAGCCCAAATATGCATAAAAAGGCCCTCAACAAAGGGAATCAACTTTCGTTGAGTGACAATGACTAGCTACCACATAGGTTCAAATTTGTGCTGCCTGGCTTGAGTGTGGGCCTCCTATATGATTGAATACTGGTTGAAAACTGGTGAAGGGTACAACTTGCCTTGTGCACGCAGGATTTCACATGAATGTGCAAAATGCAAAAGTTTGATGTGTGAACTGATCTTGGTTGGAGTGTTCAAGCCGTTCATATACCACAATTTTTCACCACTGGGTCACTCAATGCTCAAAGTTGACAGCCTAACACTGCAATTATGCTTGAACTCCAGGACAGGTTAAGGCAATGTACCAAGGGCACAGAAAAGGGATTGACTGAATACAGATCGTGAGTAAACATTCTACACTGCAAAGCTCACACTTACGTGGTTTCCATGTTTTAATTTGCCGAGAGTGGTAATAAATTTTCAGGGGCATTTAATTCTGGGGTAAAAAGTTTTGAAATACTTTGCAGTGCTCTTATGTTTACCTGGACCTCTGCTGCAAAACTTTTAGGACATGCTCTTAATTGTAAGCAAGAGGACAATGCCCAAGTTTCCTGACTGAGTCTGAGATGACCAGGTCCAAGGTTACGAAAGAAAGACGGTTTTGCACCTGACTGACCACACTTACTGGCTTTCTCACAAGAGCACGAGAGTAAGGATGCACCGAACTGCCACATTTATTTGCACATTTATGCACTCATTTCAAAAAGTGTGCCGGACCATTTTTCGTCAGAATGAGCCCAATCTGGTAGCATCTTTATATCAGATGCACCGGAGTACACAGAAATAATGCCTCTCATGCGTCTTCAATCTCCATTCTTCATTTATGCCACAGGCGATCATTCATGTACCAGTCCAATAGCTATTTTATCTTCACATAATTTTTAGATTTCAGTGTTTTTAGATTTAAGTCTTTTTGACTGAAAGCTTCCAGTCACAGCTGTACACAATCTCTGTCCAAGTGCCCATCTACTGCAGCCTATTACAGGACAGAATGACACTCTCCAATCATTTTTCATGGGGGTGGGCCAAGTTTGACATTTAAATATTAAAAGCGGCAATGGGTACGGAAGCTTGATAGCAGACATCAGCTGGGCATTTAATAATTTCTTTCTCAGATGTTAGCATACGAGAGACACAAGCTGAAGTTAAGGTCATAGGTCAGCCACACGGACTATTTGTTTGCCTACGTTTCCTCCAGTCATCATGGACACAAATGCAAAGGGGGCGTTCTCAAGTCCTTCAGCAACTGTTTCCTTGTACTGGAAGAAAGGGGAAAAAAATGAGGAAATTTACAGTGGAAGTGTAATTTTAAGTGGAGTTTACATTGTGCAGAATGTCAAAAACTATCACAAGTGACATTCCTTCAGAGCCTGCATCCCGTTTTCTCTGGTTACCTTACACACATTCAGCTCTGCCACAGTTGGCCATGTTGGTTTGTGTAGATACGCTCTGAGAGTCCATGGGATCTAGTGATTAACTTTCTGCAACATACAATGGTTGATTATTGAGTACTGTTATGGTGGGGCATGGCTTTTTTTATGCCCATGGGATGCATGGCACCCAAGACAGAGCTATGCACAATGGGAGTAAAAATGTATCTCACATCACAGCTGTCAACAACTGGTGAACATTCCGCAGGTTTTATCATGAAATGGGTTTACGGCAAATTGTCCTCTCAAGCGGCAAGACTGAAAGAACAGGCGACCTATGACAAACGCCCAGCAAAGCACAGTGTGTCTTTATTATGCAAATGATATGCAAAGCAGTATCTGAGTGATGTCACAGCAAAGCTAACCTTTTCCCTTCAACAGTTTGGACATGGGACTGCACTACGCCAAAGGCAATGAACAGTGTTCAAGACATAAATGTGTATACGTTCAAATACCTTGATTTCACCTTTCCTGTACCAGGCACAGAGTTGCTGCACGGCATCAGGGAATTTATCCACGTGGTTGAGGACCAGGAACCTGTCTCTGGTGACGTTGCGCTCGGTCAGGACTTGTTCCGTCTCGGCAGGGATGGGTGGGGGGTAAGGGACGTCGGTGTTGTAGACCGAGATCTGACCGCAGAGGATGACGTGAGAGTCGGGCGTCATCTGCAAAGGTGCGAAATTGATGCAAGGCTTCTAGTGTCTGCTTCGTAGGAACACAAATTGGAGGGAATCTTGAAATGGCTTTTTGGAAAGGCGAGGTTGGAAGATAAAAAACTTATGTACGAGTCCAGGATTGGCCTCGCCTATAACTTGCAACATGAGCAAGCACATGAAAAATGTCAAATATTTTAATTTCCGAGTCCGGCTGATGGAAATTTGAACAGATGCAATATTTTGATGGGTTCGCATCAAATACTAGCAAAGATTTTAGCATGAGTTGTCCTCCATGTCTGTATACAAATCCACAACAAGTTGGTAAACGTTACCACCATTGGAACCTGGCAGGGAAACGATGCACGACAAATAGAATACCACCATTTGACTTTCACCTTGGAGAAGTGACAACAAGAAATAGGGTGTTCTTTTACAGTTTCAATGAGAATTATGGTAAATCATTTGAAAATGAAGATGTTTCATAGTATGTCTCAGGGAAAGATATAAACATATTAATGTGATTATAACTGCTTTTCATTAAAACCTGACCATGTGGTGAATGTTTTTATTTAAAAAAGCTCTTAGGGTCAAAACAAAATCCTCAAAACAGTGATTCAAATATTTATTCTGACACCGTTTATTTTGCTAAAATGCATGCAATTATCCTCAATGTAAATGTGACTTGTCCCACCTGCTGAATGACGGCGTCGCTGACGGCTCCTCCCACGTTGTCAAAGTAAACGTGCACCCCTCGAGGGCAGCATTCTCGCATTCGCTCCCCGACGTCTTCCGTCTTGTAGTTGATGGCGTGGCTGAAGCCCAGCTCCTGGGTGATGTAGGTGCATTTCTCCTCGCTGCCGCAGATGCCGACCACATTTGTGCAGCCTTCCAGTCTGGCTATCTGAAAAAACAGGGGTAAAAAAATGGAGGATAATCTCGAAATCATCTGAATAATTATTGCCATTGTCACTGCCACAGTTAGTCTGTGAACTGCTCTGTGAAAAATGAGTCATGACATTTTTTTTCCCCAGTAATTATGTTCCGTTACCATAGGGTAAGCTGAGCTTTTTGACTTGATAGGCACTCTATGGGCGAGAACTGTGGAGGGTTCCTCTTGCTTGATATTGCAAGAGATTCTTGACGGGTCTTTCACTAAACCGTGGCTCTGGTGACTTGTGACTCATTTTCACAGAGTGGGTCACATAGTGGGAGTCGAAGAACCCCAACCATCCAACAAGATTCTGCTTAATTTTAAGTAAGGGTTAATTTCAATTTAAAGTTTTTTATTTAAACATAATTGACATGAGGACATTCACTAGTTTGATTGAAAATATCCCAGAAATGACCCCTTTCCATTGTTTACGGTTGGTCAGTTTGCTGCTGGGTGGTGGCTTTGTCCCCCACCAAATCTTTGCAACATGATGGTCCAGTAATTGGGCATCTTTGATGGGACCTTATCACTGTTACGCCCCAACTACAGCATTGTCCCAATTGTAATGGGACAATGCTACAGTTGGGAGTAACACAACCACTCCATGCTCCTTGAACATTTTCAAAACAGATTCCTTCTTTGAATTGCTTTATCACCTGGCAAGAGATTTTTTGTACTCATTCCGACGAAAGTGAAACAAATTTGAATGAGACAAATTGGTGACCAACCTGTCCAGCAAGTGATCCACAGGACCCCGCTGCGGCACTCACGACAAATGTCTGGCTGCCGTCTGGTGCCACGTGTCCCTTCTCTTTGATGCCAAGGTAAGAAGTGATGCCTGAAATGCCGTACAGGCCGAGCATAAGGGACCAGTGCTTCTTCACCAGGGCGACATCCACCTGTTGGTTTGGAAGGTAAACACCGAGGGCTCCGTATAAAATATGTTTTTCAAGAGGCAGCAAATGAACAACTGATGTTGCTAACATTTCGGGCATAAGCCCTTAACCTTTAAGATGTTCTGAAATTCCACATGGAGGTCTTGAGAGATTTTGTAGAATTAGGGAAGATAGAGGCAGTTTCTTGAGAGTGAATTTGATGCCCCTAGATTGTATAAGTGCAAAGAGTATGCCACTGGTGTCCTGCAGAGTGGGGACTGCAGGGGATTCGTTAAGGTTTTAAGAACACCTTTTTTTAACCTGTTTAGGTCCACATTCTATTCAAAGTAAGCGCATGGAATGAAACACCTGCCAGTTTAACCATTTTTGAATCTTTTCAACTTTAATAAGCTCTGGTACTTGGATGATATGACCCTGACAATGGCAACTCAAGGACACCATAGCTTTCTTATAGGCTGTGTCTACTCCATGGTCTACTGTCCTGTGATGTTGACATAGCTTCATGATAATACAGACAAAACTGATTTAACCACTTGCCTCCAGGGTTTCCAGAACCGGGCACCTTGGGTTTGTATGCATAGCCTGGGTAACTGAAATCGGACAAAAGAGCTGGGCCTTGTAACAAAAGACCGTACTTGGAACGAAAGACCCAGCTGCTGGGATTTACCATCATTTTTCATCATTAGCGGAGGTAATCCGTCATTGTTTTGAAACAGTATACCACTGTTTGAGGCATTCAGTGCCAGTGGATTATCAGCAGGGACAAAAGTACTCCTGCGATGAGCGATACAGTACCACTGTATGCTAATCCGGCCGAATTTGAAAAGACGCCACTGGCATTGAGAAACACACTGGGCCAATTTCGGGAACAAAGGAAATCATGCAACACTGCACGATCTGGGCTCTCTTTACGAGGTCGCGGCCTGGATGAAATAGTTGGGCGTCAATGGAGGATGCCTGTCAGATTAGAGTAGCCACCAGACAGTCATTCGTGTGGGTGTAAACGTCTAGTAAATGAAGTTATGAATTTTTGAACAATTTTGAAAACGGAAAATCTTGAAAATCCCCTGGGAACTCATCCTGCACATGCATATTCCACCCGGAAGAAAGTGGTTAAAATGCTTCATAGACAGTTTCTGGAGGTATATTAACAGATTCCCTAGGTAATAAAAGTAAAACGAGAGATGAAACTGGCATTTGCTAACCTCTTCTTTGACTGCTACCTTCTTTTAGATTATAGAGTTAACAGTCTGCAGCTTCGGTTGATAGCAGTATTTATGTCATGTACATTTACTTTGTACATATTGATGTACATACTTACTAGTATAGAGGTTGTGCATGGCAGCCATCTTGCAGGTAACGGCTTTTGTCGCGGAGGGATAGCACAAAAGGTCTACTCATGTGTATCCCTGTGGAATAAGAGCTCTTACCGAAAAAAATGGCTGCCATACAGAACCTCTACATTATGGATAATCAAAAAATAATTATTTTTTCACGTTTGACCATACTCCAATAAAATCACCAAGTTAAGACCGTGTTGCACTTGAAGGTAGCTTGCATTGAGCAATCTAGGTTAAAAACTCCTCTGCAAACCGCTCTCGTGAGGCCACCTTTTGCGGGCCATCAGGCCAAATGTAAAGAGTTGTTAATGGTCAACAAGTTGCTTTTGAAAGTTTGTCCGGTACTCATCCGTGACGAATGCAGAGTTTCTTGTGGGTAAAGTCCTAAGCGGTTCCACCCGCAACTTGTCCGCAACTTGTCCTCAACTTGTCCAGGACGAGCTTTCAGATGCTTCCAAACCGGATGAACACTGATGGAGGTATGCTTTTGTGATTGCTCACTTGGTAGTTTGTGACTTGTCTTGACACCGAATGACTTGCGATGGACTTGCAGAAACTAGTGGCTGACTCAACTCCACCACTACTCACCTTGTTGACGATGAGACAGTTGAACCCCTGCACGTCCAGCGCTGCATAAAGCTGCCAGGGCAAGTGGAAGCTCTCGATCACCTCACCCTTGGAGTAACCAGCGCTGCGGCTCTTGACGACCACACCCACCCCTCCTCCCTCAATGGTATCGTCTAGTTTCCATGGCGACATGTAGTCCGTGCCTGTGTCTATGTTCATCCTGCACCTCTGGATGAGTTAAACCACAGAATAAATGATACTCTTTCCATCTGGTAACACAAAAAATCTCTCAATATTTCAAAGCAAAGGATACAAATCTGGAGCTAGTTCTTACAAAAATTGAATTTGAACCACAGAACATGAATGTAATATTTTTCCCTGAGATGCTCTGCAAAACGTCTTGATTTTCGACAGATAACGTAGATGCAAATCCCTCTAACAGAAGTTTGAAAAGTAAAATGAGGAGGAAGCCATGTGGCTTGACTCTGGCACCAAAAAGGGACACCTACATGAACTTATCCTGGTGCAATGAGCACCGGTGTACACAAATCAAGAGATGTTTCCCTGGACGCTTCCAATGGCCCCCTTTAATGGCAGAAAGCAGAGTGTTGAGTTGTGTACATAGCAACTGTTTATCACAATACTTAACTGCCATTGGCAGGGGCCACTGCAAATGAACAGTGATTAGCGCGACCAAGATCACTGGATTCCTCTATAAAAATCAGCACTTCTTACCATGTAGGGATCGACAGATAGGCAGAGTAGTTTGATGAGAATCTGGCCATCTTCAACCTCTGGCATGGGGCAATCTTCCACACGAAAGTTCTCTACCGTAGGTATCCCATTCGCTCCTAGATTTTAAAGATCCCCAATAAATAACAAAAATATGATAGGTACCCACCCTGTTTCACAGTCCCTCTCAACATAAATTTAACAAGACAAACAGGGTCTGAGTAGGCAGTGATTTACCCATTCCTGGCACAGCGTACTGAGGCAAGATGGGAAACAACTGGGTACCTATATCTCTGCATGACAGACGCATTGAATTCATATCTGATAATTATAGTTTATTACTGAGAATCCTGAGTTCACTTTTTTTAATCAAATGGGCGAGGGTTCTGGATCTGGCCACCATGTACTTATATCCAAACACATGCCACCTCACTCTGAATGGTCATTTAATTGACGATCGTTTCATTCACAGTAAGAAAAACTGAAATCGTCTGCGGAAAAGTCTTCTTGGTTATTTTAGAAAAAGTGTTGGTATTTGTAAAACTGGAGAGCTGTGGTGGCCAGATATGGACTTTTTCCCCCACCAACTGACTCAATATGAAAGCTGATATTCATGAACCTGTCAACTGCCTTCCCCCCGGCATTGCATCAATTTTGGGTCTCATGCATGTCTCCTGGTTTGGCCAAGTTTTCCACGCGTAGGATGGGGATCCTTAGTTCATCTCCACCATTCACAATACACAGGAAGACTGCCCAAAAGAACTTCCAGAACCTTTATACAAACTATACAGATAGCCATGTACATGTACAAACTCACATAAACACATTTTGGCCATTTCTATCGTGCCCACTCACTCTGCCATCACAGCATTTTCTGCAACAAAATTTCACACATATACCTTCTTGGTGAATTTAGATGTCTGATGGGGTGGTTTATTCACCTTACGTCCTCATTAACAGGGTGAAATTCTAGAAGACTTTGCCCATCCACACTACAGAATATCAGCAGCATGTACTCTCAAATACTGTCAGCTACATGACAGCTTGACCAATCAAAACACAGCTTCTATCTGTTCCTTCTTGTTTTCCCGTCAACCACAGATAAAAGCCACACTGTAACTGGCCCAGTTTGCTTCCATTCCAATGACCAATCATAGCTTTTCAGCCCAAATGTGCTTATGTGAGTTTGTACATCGTTACCTGTAAGGTTTGTATAAACCAGCCTTACAGTTTTGGGAGTAGCCCAAAAGGTAGGGATATCATATCCCAACTTTATCAGTGACCTACTCGAAGTAGGAAGCATGCAAAGAAAAAAGCTCAATTGCAGAATACCCCACCACCCCGCATGATCAACCTCATACTAGTCATAGCCAGGTATAGGTCAAAGTGTCACACTCTTTTCATGGGATTTTCACCTTGTACCCACGTAACCAGTCAATCCAGGGGTCGTTTTTTAGAGTGGCAGGGTATTCTGCAATTACTCCAGTTTGCCATGTTAGGCCTAACTTTACTCCCCAACAATTAGCTGGATACTGTAGTAAACTGCAACACCCAATCTACGTTATTACAATTACCTGGCCGGCTAGCAAGACACACTCGCTTGTTGGAAGACGCTGCCATTTCAGTTTCTTACAAATTATGAGTTCCGTTCTAAGGCATGAAAGGCAATGGCTGTAGTTTCGACAGTCAGGTAAGTTTACGAGCAGCAGTGGGATACCCCCAGAACTGTGGGATCCGACGTCCGCCCCGCTCCCATGAGCGGGGCGGACGTCGGGTTTCGAGTCAACTCGGACCCAAACCAACTCGGACCCATGCCAACTTGGACCCATGCCAACTCGGACCCATGCCAACTTGGACCCACGACCAACTCGGACCCATGCAAATTCGGACCCAATACTAACCCGGATCCACGACCAACTCGGACCCAATACAACTCAGACCTACGACAAACTTGGACCCACCCTGAGTCAACTCGGACCCAACACAAATCAAATCATTTTAAAGTAAAAATGTGGAATATTTCCTATTGTCTTAAACTTGGAGACAGTTTTGAAGTGTCGTGTGTCTGCTCGCGAGCTCATTATTAATATTTTGTGATGCCACGTTCTTTTTACAATAAGAGGAGCCATGATCTCGAGGGATCATAGAATTATTTATATAAATCCCAAATTTGGGATAGATAGTTTCCTGTTCAGAGTATTTCTTTCACAAAAAGCCCCACATTGCAGGCCTTTTTTAGATAGAGGTGGGCGGCTACATTCAGAGCTGAGTGCATAGTTTTACTACTATTAGGGGGTATCTTCGGGAAACGGCGAATTAAAAAAGTTCAGAAAATTGAAATGAAAAGTGATCGATCTGGCCATAATCTTGAATTTCCAGGGAGCAAAAATAATCTTGAGTTTCAAGCGAAAAAAATGAAGGCCTCTTCATTTTATGGTTATGGTTGCACTACACCAAAGGGGTCCAGACAACTTGACCGTTTGCCAACTCGACTTCGGACAACTTGACCGTTGAGACAACTCGACCGTCGAGTTGTCCGAAGTCAAGTTGGTACACGGTCGAGTTGTCTGGACCCCTTTGGTGTAGTGCAACCATAACCCATGAGACTCAGTGGGTCCGAGTTGACTCGAGGTGGGTCCAAGTTGGCGTGGGTCCGAGTTGGTTGTGGGTCCGAGATGGTCATGGGTCCGAGTTAGTATTGGGTCCGAGTTGGTTTGGGTCTGAGTTGACCTGATCCCGGACGTCGGACCCCACAGTTCTAACTTCTACGGGTAGCCATGGAGGAAGGAAAACAGATGTTTTCCTTCCTCCAAGGGGTAGGACACTCGGAATCAAAACTTTTAACTAGTGAAAATGAAAACCAGTTTTACTATTTTTTTCTTCACTGACATGTTTAGTTCACAGTCGTGGCCATTTACTAGTGAAAAAGCCAACCCTGAGCGAGGTGTTGTTAAAACATTCGCTAAACTATGATGCAAAGGATATTTTTCTGCTCTGTTCCTAAGAGAGCCGAACGAGGTCTCCTGATTTTGGTGTGATTTCGTCTCCAAGTTGTTTTGACTGTAGTGCGCCACCAGGTGGCTAACACCATGAAGAAATAAGCCTGGTGCCAACTCGTGACATACATCAGCCCTTGTCTGTACATTCATTTTGGGCATAGACGTCAGGAATTTGTTCTGCCTGCCACTCATTTTTGCAAGATGGCGTCCACGAGTGAGATGGAAGAATTTCTGGAAGCTCATCGCCACAAATACGAGCCTCCACTTCATTGGAAGGCGCGGAAACAATTTATGATAAACAACTGGGATCAATACTCTGGAAACCAGTTGGTTTCTTTGTCCATGGTCTGGTCAAATGTGGAGTTTGACGGAGCAACGTAAGTCCATGGTCTGAACACGAGCACGTCATCTGATCGTTCACATAATCATGACATGATGTATGACACGCTTTTTTTTAATGGAACATGTTTTGTATTCAGTTTGAATGCATTTGTTTGGTATAAAAGTGTAACATACGAAATTTTAAACTGTAAACAAATTATTTCTGTTTATCCTAAAGCGATGAATGAATTCAGTCTCAAGTCCTAACCCCAAAAGTTAAAGGGGGGAGGGTTGTTGCCCCTGAAACTGTCTGATTGTCACCCCAGGACTGTCTGACTGTCAAAAGTGTCATGACGGTGGATGACATACCCCATAATTCTTGGGGTGGGTAGGATACTGCAGTCGTTCCCAGAATAACACTAAACTTGTTCAAATATTAAAACTGTCGACCACACGAAGCCTCTTGAAAACAAAATATGTTAAATGTTTACCAAAAAAAGATCAGTGGACATGGTAGAGACAGAAAAAAATCTAGGCCCTACCGTAAAAAACTGTGGAAAGAGTTCCATATACGGACACCATTTTTTTCCCCATATAACAGCCATCAGAAAGTGATGTCCCAAAAAGGAAACTTGAGCTAGGAAAATTCCAATGCATTTCCTTAGAAAACACCATGGTATTTACAGACAGGTCTCATAGCTTTGTGGACAGGGGCATCAAGTGTTGTCTGTATATGAAACTCTTTCCAGAACTTAATTTTTTTTCTCCACGGCATCTTTTTGTCACAGATTAATAAGCAGACCCCATGCTTCAGAGTTCACTGTCTTCCAACCCTCAGCAGATGACTTTGATTTGATTTGCAGGTACCCAGCAGAGCTGATGGTCAGAGTAAAGATGATGGCGGAAGGGATCACTGTGGACAAATAACACTGGCAGTACAATCAGCATAGCACAGACACAACTAACATCATGTAGAAGTGGGGGGGTGTTGGGCCCTTGCCAGTTGGACAGACAGTGGCAGAGCAGTTTTTAACAATCGCTTTCCCAGTCCTGGCATAAAAATTTAAGAAGTGGCAAATTTCACTTTAATCAGCTTTACCGTCATTGTTGCTTCTTCAAAATCTTGACAGAAACCACGTTTTTCTTGAGAAAAGAATGAAAAAAAACGGGGCCATGTGCCAATTTCCTCGTTCTAGCACGGGCAAAACTTTATTCCATGGATAAAATTCTCACATTAGAATATTAACAATTCTCATGAGAACATTCAAAAGCTGAGACCTGCAGGGCAATCTGGACTTTTACACTGGCTAATATGCTTTTTTTCATGCGCGTGTATATACATGGGTTTGCCAGCCACAGTCTTGTCTCAACTGTGCCTTACCCCACTAAATACACCATTTTCAAACCACACTTAACCTCACGCTATGGCAAACTGGTTTTCAGAATGCTGAGGGATGGTTGCTCCAGAAACTCTGATTCACCGTGCTGAAAATTATTGTTGCCATTTGAAGAAAAACAAAACATATGTCTGGTGTTCTCTTTGTTGAAGATATCCACCAGCGCTGATGGCCCGAGTGCAGGAAATGGGTAAAGGGATATCGTTGGACGTACTAACTGCCCGGGAGAGCGATTTCCAACCCAATGTGGGTGTGAGCAAAGCCGAAGCTAAGCCCCAGGGAAGAGCCCAAGACAAACCTGTTCCCTCCTCTAAATTGTGTCCACCGGTTAAGAGAAGCCTGGAAGAGGAGACTACGGGGAACGAGAAGGCCCAGAAGATGCAAAGGGGGCAGAGTGCGAGAGAGCGAGCAATCCGTGGATTCGATGACCGCCTCGGGCCGAAAAGCGGCCCCGGTGAGTCAAGTGGCTGGAACCAGTCGGGGACCAAAACAGGGTACGAGAGGATCATTGCCAACTTGGCCTACAACCTCAAGAAGCAGAACAACAACAGAATAGGGGGGCCAGCGTTGCACAAGCTCCAAAAGGCCAGTCAGCATTTGGCCCAGACGCTTGATTTGGAGTTCATTGAGGTCCCAACCATCGTAAACAGTGCCGAGCAGTGGAAGGGCATGAAGAAATTCAAGAACCCAAGGTGGTCGTGCAACCTGTACCTGGGCGAGGCACTCCTGGCCAGCGTGGAGGCCAACAATAAGCCCAACTCCAAGACGGCTGCGGCTGAGAAGGCTGTGCTTATCTTGGAGGGTGCTGGCTTCACAGTGCAGCAGGTGAACAAGCGGAGCCAACTAGGGAGGAAGTTCTCGAAAGAGGTTCTGCCGCTCGACCAGAGACTGAACACCAGGACCTTTCGGGTGGACCAGCAGAACCGGTGTGGGGCACCACCGCCAACATGGACGCTGGAGAACTTTGTCCTGACAGAGCAAGTGAAAGCGGCTTCTGCGACGAGCATCTTGATCAACTCTGCACAGAGCAACCACGTACCGATACGGTTTGAAACCACAGAAGACATCCAGACTGTCAACGGCAAGTCAGGATTCGTCTGCACCACTCTCATCAACGGGGTGCAGGTGTGCACCGGAATACACATGAACAAGCGGGAGGCACGGAACGTGGCGGCTGAGAATGCGCTGGCCTTGCTGCGTAAGACCTGCCCCATCCTCCGGAAGAACCTGGACAGTGCACAGGCCAACGCGATCACGCGGGCCGAGCTCGAGGCTAGGCAGTCTCCCCAGCCCTCGCTGGCCCCAAGCGCCATCGAGGACAGCAATCTGGGCCACAAGATGCTGAAGATGATGGGCTGGACGGGCGGCGCACTGGGCAAGAACGGCATCGTGGAGCCCATCCAGGACAGCCAGAAGTTCTCTCGCGAGGGTTTCGGGTACACAGTCAAGGCTCCCAAGAACATCAAGAATATGCTTGACATGGCGGCCGTTCGCAGGATCCTGGAAGACTATGTACATTCTGGACGTCGGGACGATCTCATCTTCACTTCGGAGCTCTCCCAAGACGAGCGTAAAGCCATCCACCTGGCCTGCCGCAAGTTTAATCTAAAGAGCCAGTCACACGGTTCAGGGCAGGAGCGCTTCTTGGTGGTCAAACAGAAACGCAACTTGAGCGAGCTTGTTCAGGATATTGTAGACAGTGGCGGAACCTGTGGACAGTATGAGCTTGTTACTCCCGGACAGAGTTAAAATATCAACCCTTACCCTGCCCAGCTCAGCAAAGACCACCAGGCATAAAAAGTCTGGTGCTTCTTGTCACACCGGGCAATCAACAGCTGCCAAAGAAACTGGCCACACTGAGACAATGGGAGTTGATCCGGCATGTATGGAACAATGCCACTGTCGGACCCCGAGGTGGCTGGCAACCACAGATTCCCAAACTGTGTGGCCTTAGGGATAGCCGACCTGTTGGATTTTGTTGCTCTGGGCAGGCAAGCCACTTTGACAAATGACGCAATCTGGCAGTCTCTGTACAGAATTTTAATTTGTAGACATACAAATAAAATGAGTCAACAGCCAACACTGAAAGACAGGGGCCCAGGGATTCAAGATTAAAACTGTTCAGAATGTTTTCGAGACACTGTGTATTAACGTGAAATTCTGCTAATTTCTGCTCCTTGGCCTATCTGTACAAAGTAAAATTAAAACATGTTTTTCACTAAAAGACAAAATTTATGTGAGCTCTCAAGGAAGAATCCGAGTACATATATCTATGATATCAAATCGAAAGTCTTGTCCTATATTAGGTGAGACACGACTTTAGTTCCCAAGGACGTTTGTATTACATGTACATGGGCAGATCTTTGGCTTTGAATTTTGATGTTTTTTGATGTTTTGGCTTGGTATGCCAGTGACCTTTGAAGCATGGTAAGGCAGAACTTGCTGAGGAGTACCCGTCAACAGTCGTGGAAAAGAAACAAGACCCAAAAGACACTAGATAAACCTTGCTTCTGTTCTGCCATGATCAGTTTTTGACCAGATTACCAAGTTCACACAATAAGCATACAAACCAGAGTACAAATACCAATGGGATTTTGCCGTTGCTTGGCCCAGGAGAGTGGATGCGGGTAATGTCCCTCATCCTTGGGCTCAGGCCTTTCTAAGTATCCATCCATCCTCCTGATCTGGTCGTAAACCGGTGTTTAACGACTAGCCAAGCACATACATGTACATTCAAACTTGTCAATATGAGCACTGTTTATACAACATACTTGTAACAAAGTCACTTTTATGTCTCAATCATTTGTTTCATTGTATTCCTACCTGATAATACAAGGTTTCTGTTATTACAAGGTACAGTACTTCCTACCAGATAATACAAGGTTTCTGTTATTACAAGGTACAGTACATGTACACAGTCAACCAAGTTGGAAAGAATATTAATCAGGGACGTGAGAATTCAGCTTTGTAGCTGATTTCAGCTTTTTTGTTTCGATGTTGACCCAGAATTTTATTTTTTTTTCAATACGTGGTCTGTACAAAGGTATGGAACCTTTCACATTTCAGCTTTTTGCTAGCTGCTTTCAGCTTTAATTTGAAGTGGCCACTCGCCCCCCAATTAATGAGATTCAGCTGTTCATTCCTTTAAGCCCAAGTCCTCTCAGTTCCTTAATCTGAATATGATTTTTTCCATACACCATGGGAGTTATGGTTAATTATGTAATAATTTTAATTGTATGTACATGTACTATTTCGATTTCAATATTGTCAGAAAACCACTGGATTTGATCACAATGAAGATATTGGTTTGGTTTGTCTTTTTTTTTCATTACATAATGTTGGTTGATTAGCCCTTATATTATTGTTCGTCATATGCGATTTCCTGCCCTGGCAAAGTGGGGATGTAAGCACATGTACATATACTCGTACATGTACATCACATACCCCAGAAATGGTCGCAAAGATGTAGAAAATATAACTGAAGTTGGTCCCAGCACTGATCTGTACATACAAGTTGTGGGAAAATGTGGTAGTGCCTAGTAATGGCGGCTTCTTCATATACATATGCATATGTATACAAGCATGGTTACCAGATTTTGGCTGTTTGATGGCAGCCCACTGCGAAGCTCAGAGTGGTAACAAGCTGGGTATGCATTAGTAGTAATTCATTAAGGGTGGGGGTTTACATTTAATTGAAAAATGTTAAGATTTCCCATACACTTTAAACGTGTGAACGTCCAACCCTTCCTACGGTGTTGTTGAAGAATTTAAACACAACAAATTGTTTACAATGCAAATACATGTACATGTAGTTGACACAATTCCGGTGATGAATTCATGGTATTCCTTTGATGTGACTGAGCATTAAAGTGTTCTGAGAATTGCATTACATTTTACAGGCATCATTTACAATAAAAATGAACACCAGATTGCGACAGTTAAAATGTCAAACCCCTAGAAACGTTTAAACGTGTGAACTTCCCACCCTTTTAATTCATTGATCGTGGGTAATTGTGAGACTGGGAGAATCAAGCATGGTATGGTGCCGTGAATCTGTGCATTTACACCGTACATAGATTAATCCAATTAGACGCCCAAACTGCGGTGGCACTGCACTCATACGTGTTTATTCAGCTTGACGCCAGTGTGCTTTTGGCATATCGGGACACCCTATTGATCAAAGAGGCATGTAACGGCCGCATACCACCTGTTTAGAGGTGTTGTGCCACCGCACTAATGGCATCAAATTCTGGTTATCAAATTACACTGTACGTGTATCATGATAGTTACCTGTAAGACATTGTTTCCTCCCTCAAGACAACTCTGACTGAAAGACTGTTAAAAGGCACCTACCTGTAAATTCAGACTTGTGACGACTCATTTTGTAGTTGTGAACAAATGCCATCCAGTGCCTATGTCGAAAGTCACCAGCTGCAATTGATTTCGTAAGGGTAATACATCTGACATTTCTGACCCAATGCATGTGATGTGGACAGTTTGCACATAAACACAGCAAATGCATACACTGTCACACAGCTAACATGAATGCTTCACTGAAACTGCAGTACTTGTCTAAAAAGTATACCAGGCAAGATATGGGATGGAAGGGTACCCCCCCTTACATGTCCAATCCCTATACACACTCTAGACTATTGTTACCTAACACATCCCCCAGAAGTCTGTAAAGATTTCCTGAGATTCCGATCAAACAATGACCAACACAAAGGCGGGGGGAGGGTTCTCTTCATCCCATATCTTGCTTCAAATGATAAAAAGTGGTGGTTGTCACGCCTCAAAGCTGAACTGTGTTGTGTTGTCAAGCAGAGATGTTTTTGAGCAGCAATAAGACACTTGCATGGAGTGTCACACAGGGAAGTCCGACGTCCCCTCAACTCAGGGTGGAAATAAATGATTAGTACAACAACTTTCACAACAAATGTTGAGCGGCAACTTTCAGGCAACCTTCTCTGTTTCACAGCATAAAATCAGTCCGCTCCAATTTATTGCTCGAAGGAGGTTTTGACAATTTCTTACAAAATATAAACACCCAAAACATTGGTCCAAACGACTTACTTGTAAAAACAAATCACCACAGAGTGCAAGTAAATCCGTTTGGGGTTATAAAAGATAACAAATGGTACTTCTCTTAAAAATGAAAGTACATATTTGTTGATGCAGCTTATGAAAAATGCTAAACTTGGGCATCTGTACATGTAAGTACCAGATGAAAAAATTACGTACTATCCAGTGTTCACGTTCTGCATGAAAAAGACATAAAATGATGGTTGCATGTAATTTTAGTGTTATGTTTGCAATTATTGTGTAAACTGCTATTACCATGGTATAAAAAAATCGAGAAAAATGAGAATTACTATATGGTGGAAACAGAGACTGTAGCCCGTATAAAATAAATATTTGTAATACATGCAGTTTGCTAACTATGCTGGCTAAAAATGGATGTGTAGATCTTCAAAAATAGAAAATTAAAATTCATGAACCTTTAGACCCTGTCAGCGTGAAATGTTACAGTGATGCCACATCAAGTCATCTGGCCCATTCTTTGTTGGCGGTGCTCCAATGTTACAATTCTTTTTCTTTGGAGAAGAACCTGCCAAGCGCTAACGCTTCCTTGCGTGAAATGACCCTTAGAAGTGTTCAGTCACATCGTATTGATCCTTGCAACAGCAAGGAGTTGATGACTTTGGATTCCTACTCAGGAAGGAAAGGCGCAGCTGGTCTGAAAACGTTTCAATTTTTGACAGAAGCCTGTTCTTTCCTGAGAACGTACATTTTTCAAGCGGCTACTTACTGCAGGCTTAATAACTACAAGGAACAACATCTACATCTGGTCCATTTTTGAAACAAAACTGTTTAATAACATATGAACACTTTGTACAAATAAATTTAAAATTGGAAAATGTTTAAAACTTGAGTGGAGACAAGAAGCGAAAAGTATACAAAGCAATCTAACAAAAGTAGCACACAAAATAAGAAAGCATTTATTTATGCCAAGTCGTGAATAAAACTTCTTTTTACAGGTGGCAAGAAAAATAGGATGGGAGTCTTACAGAAGTGCCCACAAAAGGACACTAATACAGTGGTTTCTTGTCTTAAAGTTTAGCCACAGTCAAGTTTTCTTGAACACAATTTTTCTGCAACTGTGTACTCTTCTCAAATGTATGAAAACTCTTTTACACTTCTGATGGGTTAAATGTACTGAAAGGTGCACCCTTTTAATATACTAAAAAGTGCACTTTTTAAACACTTAACTTATCCATGTTTTCCGAACAACTGAGGGCGCTGTTGCTGTGATGTCAACTGGGAAGACATAGTTCAGTGCACAGGTTTTTCTATTAAAATTGTGAACTTTGGGCCTCAAAGTGTCCAAGGTGGGTTACACAGCAACAGAGATGCAGGAATATCTCTGACCCTAACTCCTGAACTTGTTTTTGGTCTGGTGAAGGAATCTGGAATGTCAGTGACACGTTCTCTGAAAGCTAGCTTTCAAGGAACATAAATCCCACGTGAACAAACAACTGCTGGGGAGTACCTCCCGTTAGCCGAAAGACTACTCCAAAACCTGCCGGACTGTGAAAGAAACGGGAAGGCTTACTGCTTGACATGTGTGTAACCTTGGCTCTGAGAAGAGATTGCTTGGACAGTGGGCTTCTTGGAACCTTGTCACCATCATGATGTGTTACAGGGCAGGACAGGTTTGAGCAGATACTAGATGTATAGCAATATCTGGAAGGAGGTATCAGTTGCTCTGTAGGAGGAACTGGCTATGAAGAAAGGCCTCTCTGTCTTTAATTGTCAGGTGAACGCTTTTAGTGAACGGTACAGGAGGTATTGTGAAAGCAAGTGGCAAGATATCCCTAGGACAGCTGGTATCTTGCCATGCTAGTTTGAAAAGGTAAATCCTTAGATCTAGTGACCGCGAGGGTCCGTGAACCAGCTGTGCAGGTAGGGCGATGGCCAGGAGGCGAGATGTTGTGCAAAAATGTAGCAGCCGTCTTCAACATCATCAGATTGGGACACGGACTTGCAGGCTCTGTAGAATCTTGTTACTAAGCAAGGTTGACGGCCCGGGTCGAGGTGACGCCTCAAGGGTAGCTGCCGTCCGGCGGTTCAGGGCCCGTGTAATAATCGCTGGCCAAGAGGGGCCTGCTCTTGGGGACCCTGTCCATCTCCTCCTGGGACGGGAAGTCGTACTGCCGCATCCGGAACGTTCTTGCTTTAAGCTCCTGGACAGAAAAAACGAGAGAGAGAGAGAGAGACAGAAGAAGAGCAAAGTGGTGATTGAATGATCAGTTCACAATGTATACCCCGGACCAAAGCTACGGCATCAACTTTCTCTCTCAGACATTCAGCTCCATGCCAAACATTTTTTAACCACTTGCTGCCGGGTGGATTTTTCTTGAGCAAGACAAGATGCCGGGTCATTTTCAAGATTTTCCGTTTTCAAAATTCTTCAAAAATGCATCATTTCATTTAATGGCCATTTAAACCAAAATGAAGGACTCTTTGGGCACTACTCTAAAGCTGACAGTTAAAATTCATTGACTCCTCAATATTTCAGCCAGGCCTGCAGCCTTGGAAAAAGAGCCCAGATTGTCTCCACTATTGAGAGCAAAAAAATGTCAGTAATGCCCAGCAGCTCAGTCTTTTGTGCTGAGCTCGGTCTTTTGTTATAAGGCCCAACTCTTTTGTCCCAGTTCCGGGCTCCCCAGCTCTGCATATAAAGCCTATATACTCGGAAACGGGTCGCCCGGCAGGTAGTGGTTAAGTGCAAACTCAAGTTCCCCTCACTTTAATATTATTCAAAATATCAATTTCAAAGTCAGAAACATCACTATCACCAACATCGCCTTTTTTGATACGGATAAAACCCCCTGAACATATTAATATGACGTCAAGAAAGTTTGGAAACTTAATACATTTGTTTGCCGTATTTGTCAAGAAATAATATTTGGTTGTTACAGACGTGCATCTTGTGCACAATTTGATAAAGACCATCATTGTGTAAATAAAGATCTGGTTGAAACATGTCTGATGTCCCATTGTAATTGCATCTTCTGTTGAATGCCCTATTTGAAAGTTATAGGAGGGGGCTTCAAGCATTCTTTCAGCCTAACCACCTTGGCTGTTGTACTACAAGCAGCACTGAACCTAACAAAGTTCGACAGATACAACTAGCGCATCTACCAGGGGGTCACTGTAATTACTGGCATGTGACTGGACAGAATCTGTTGAACGTCAACAGTGATGATGGTTGAGGCATTTGGTATGGACAGATCCCGGCAGTATGCAGGTGGCTTGCAGAGTGGTAAGTACCAAACCTGACAAAAGCACAGTTTAACACATGGTGCCACTAGCCAGTCACTTTACGGACCAACTGCTGTGTGTACCCACTCAAACAAAATCCAACACCGCCACCCTGGGCCTTTCTTCCTCAATCCATCAAGTTCGTCACGAATGGTACGGATCGAATCAACCAAAACATGACAAAAACCTACACTTGAAGTATGAGGGACTTTGGATAGTTAGTGTTAAACCAGCGATTCCTTTTGATGATTTTTCTTTGCAAAATGAGGAGCAAGAGTTGTCAAAACAGTCAAAACACATACCACTGGCCTCCGTATCGTTCTCAACATATCTCCACTTTGAGCCAATACCCTGGCTCGCCCACGGCCAACCGCGGGTCGGGTTGGCTCCTGGGGTTCTGTATGGGTCTCCTGACCCAGTGCGGGGAACTGGGCGGGCGACTGAACTCTTAAGATATCCCCCTGCCCGTTCTCAGTCCTGATCAGTCCCGCTTCCTTCAAAATCGAGCTGTACAGGCGGCTTGTGGTGTGTTCTCTCCTCCCCGATTCTGGCATCGCGCTGGTCTTCTGGGTGATGGAAAGGCTGTTTGCCAGGGTGCTGCCGGCATTTCGTGTGGTCACTTTGCGGCCGGTTCCTTCCTGAGAGGGTGGCCCTGGTTGTCGTCCAGGTGAGAGGCTCAACAGGCATTGGATGGTTTGGGTGTGTCCTCTGGGGTTGGGAAGGGGGTCTTTGGGAGTATCCGACTCCTCACTGGGCTCTGCCCTTTGGTCACTGTCATCATCACCATCTTCTTCATCACTGCTGTCATCTTCACTATCCTCCTCCTCTTTCTTCTTTTCATCACCATTATCACCTTCATTCACCTCACCATCTTGACCTTTGATCCCTTGATCCCCACGCACAGTTAAAGTTCTGCCCTGAGTGTGTCTGACTACATCTTGCTCGACAGACTGTTCTTCGGCCATCAATGTCAACGACTCATCTGACTCCTGACTGGTTGTCGCCGTATGGCCATCGTCGGAATGATCCCAGAATCTCCGGTCGCTCTCTCTCCTATCCGCCGTGGAGGCACTCCTCTCTTCAGCCTGACCTCTCTCTTTCTCTTTCACTTCCGACTCTGCGTCTGAGCTCGGGGAACAAAAGACTGCAGCCGTTCCCCGTCTGCCTGCCACTTTCCCTGAATGGCTAGGCTTGCTTTGTGCTCTCTTGCTGTGGGCGGGGGAAAAACCATTTGTGAGTCTGGCCAGATCTGACGTCTCTCTGGCAACGGTTGTTTTCAGCACGCAGAAGCTCTGCTCGCTTGAAGCTGCAGGTTCGGACGGTGCGGTGGTGCGAGGAGACTCCCTGGTCGGCATCTTTGAGGTCTGAGTATTTGAAGATGCTTGCTGGTGAAGGGAGCCGTGCCCATTCCCAGGAAAATGAGGCACTGTTTCTGTTTGAGGAACGAAAATGGATATCTAGCAAGAAACTTTCAATCACTATGCCACATGAATAAAATTGAAACTATTTGATCGAACTACAGACTACTAAACAAGTACAGAATACCAACATGCCTCCTGACGTGAAACCAACCTTGTACAGTTGAAGTCACGATCCACTTCACCTAAATAACAAGCCAATAATACTTACATTATCCGAGGTCCTTCCTCCATGGAATCATGGAGGCAGGAAATAACAGCCTATCGCAGACACTTTGTCAATCTACCATGGTGACACAACAGTTTACCAGCACAATACAATTATGTATAACATGCCGAGGATGCAATATACAAACAATTTTTAGAAATGAGCTCACAGGATAAGACACAAAAGCTGCCTGTGGATTTGATGAATAAGAAGGAAACACATGTTTCTGGAAGTCTCTGTGAAAGCCAACTGCACACCTTTTTGTAAGGGATCATATCCAATGGGTGTGCTGCTGTGATTGAACACTGGGGGATCGGTACTCGGCAAACGTCCATACACAAGCCTTTCTAATTGCCTGGGAACCACTGACGTACTGACCTGAATAGAAAAACAGGGAAAATCACCATCAATCTGCAGACCAGATATTCATAAACTTCTTAATACATCACCTATTCTGGTTCCAAGTACTCAAGGCCACATGAGTACTTGGCTGGATAACAGATCATTACTGATTACAAAAAGGACCCTGTCCAAAACGGGCTTCCAGAGCTACGGCTAAGTCTATTGTCTACGCGTTTCCATGCATTTCCAATGGAGTGAAGAACTAGACCTAGCCCTAGACAACAGATTTGGATGCAGTAAAAGTCACTGTGATGATTGCTTGAAAGAGCGACAAACGTAATACCACGCAAAAGCACGCAAAAGCACGCAAGAGCAGCTTGTCGCAAACCGTGATCGGCGAAAAAAATCCTTGGCCGTACTTTGTGATTTGCTGAGGTGGTTCCGTCAGTAACATTATTTTTCCATGAGACATTTGAGTGAACTATCCAACCAAAATGCAAACCAAGTCTTCCGTGTTTCCATGAAAACAAAGTCCCTTTTCTTGAGTTTGAGGAACCGGGCGAATTGCAGAAATAGGAAATCAACAGATAACGAAAGCAAGTCGATTCCCTTTCACGAGTGCATGACAGCACAGACCAGCAGCAAGTACACTTCTTGAATTGAACGATGGCGCGTGACTCACATTTACAAAGGTCAATGTTTAAACGTATTTCCATTCGCGGATGACTCCACTTTTTAATATCTCTGTATATCTGACCTAGACACTGTATAGACGACTGCATACCAAGTTGCACAGTGTGGGTCATGCCCATATGATAGATTAGGTTCCAGTCCTTCCAGCTGTATTTTTTCAATGTAAATTCCTCACTTTCAAAAAAAATTTGAAGGGGAAATGTTCAAATATTGGATTTGGGGTAAAACATATTAAAAAGTCAGATTTCTGATAAAAAACGGAAATGTTGCATCTGTGAGTACTGTCTGTGGGATAAAGCTACATGTAGCTAGCTAGTTTTTATCATTTTTTTAATTTGATTTCGTCTTGTTTTAAAACTAATTTTGAGTTTACTGCACTTTTGAGGAATTTCCAGGATTTTCCAGATTTCCCAGGAGGCATGTGAACCCTCAGTGATAAAACAGTGATAAAAATACTAAAAAGTCAGATTTCCGATAAAAAACAGAAAAGTTGCATCTGCGAGTACTGTCTGTGGGATAAAGCTACATGTAGCTGGCTAGTTTTTATCATTTTTTTATTTGATTGTTTTGTCTTATTTTAAAACTAATTTTGAGTTTACTGCACTTTTGAGGAATTTCCAGGATTTTCCAAGAGGCATGCGAACCCTCAGTGATAAAACAGAGCAAGGCAACCAAAAAATCTTTTGTGCCTTACATTGGTTTTGCTGCGGCTCATGTCCGACATGTCTCGGATGCAGCTCAGGAAAACGTCCACCGACGCCGTGAACTCGGCCAGGAGATGATGTAGTGTTATGACGCGCAGCTCCGGCAGGTGGCGGGCCTTGCCGGCTGCCAAGGCGAGCAGCTTAGGTGACAGAGGGCGCTCTAACCAGCAGGAATCCGCTTCAGTCTGGAAAGCAACCAAAGACAAACACAGGAGCTGACAAGAGTTTTTCAATCACAACAAATTTTAGTACATGTACATGACCATGAAGTGATTGGCACAAACCTTTGACAGGTTCTTGCCAGTTTGTAAACTGCACGCAGTGGCTTAATGCGTTATTCATCATACCACTGCATACGGCTAAGAACGGTCTGGTTTCCTACCTCCCTAGCTTGGTCATTCAGCCAGTGGGGGTAGACGTGTCCTATGGACATGTTCAGGTACTCCAGCATGCACTCTGGGAGGCTGTTCAGTTTGTGTGGCAGCTCCCCGTTCAGCTGTCTCATTCTGACCAGCACATCGGCAGCCTGGAAAAATACACAATATAGGCTCAGTGTACCAACAGTTGTCTACCAGGTAAATAAAAGTTGGCTTGGATTTATGGTTCAGTCCATTATAAGTCACAAGTCAATTGTAACTTAATCACAAATTAAATTCTGAATCAGTCATATGTAAGTTGGAAGACAACCTTGGATTAAATCGCCAAAAAAATCATGTCGATCACAAAACTTAAGTTAAATCATGAGTCAATCATACGTCAGTCACAAGTCAGTCTGGTCAAGTCAGAAAATATCAATTTTTTCCCTTTATACCGATATATCGTGAAAAAAAATTTTGATTTTGATATTATCCCGATGACATCATTTTTTCACAGGCCAAAAATAAAAACAATGAAATTACGGTATCGCGTGCTGCGCCATCTTCCATCGCTGGTTACCACAGAAAACATCTACAATATTTTTTTCCTTCCAATATGGGAATTTAGGGGGTGGGGAACACTCATCAGGCATGTGACGGACACGTGAGATCTGCCCTCTCAGCACTACCCAACGCAGACCTATGTTCCCGAATGACTTCGCATTTTGGAAATAACAAACAGGCACCTTAACCTGAAACAGTGGACAGAGGTCAAGTTTATTGGTTTTTTTGCTTTTTCTTGAAGTAATTTGGCAATATTCATTTTCTTTCATCTCTTTCTCACTCTGGTCATTTACCCTTTGCCCTCATCCCCTTCCCCGTATGGTGACTAATCAAACGCAAGTTAATCAAAAATAAATCATCAATTGTAAGTCGTACCAGGCATCTGGGTGCAAATAACAGAGAATGGACTACATAAAAAAAAAGAAGACAAGCTCTTCATCCCTGGTAACTTGAAAGCTCTTGACCTGATGTGAGACTCCACTTCTCATGAATGACTTATGATTGAATTTTGATGACATGTGATTTTCACATGCGATTTGAGCTTTAACAGAGGTTTTGCACGGGGAGCCATCTTGCGGGGCAGTTCCTTTTGTTCCACAGGGAAACCTCCTTTGCGCATGCCCTGGGGAAAAAAAGCACTGGCCAGCAAGATGGCAAACATGCAAACTTTCCATTGGTTAAATTTCACAGAACCGTCACAAAAAGATGACGAAGCTCTGTCATACAAAATGGAAGTTGGAGGCAACTGGAAGTACCTGTGTGTCATAGACATTGGTGAGTTTGACTGAATACTGATGGTAGAGCTGATCGGAGGCCCATCTACTGTCATGCATCACCTGGGCAAAGAATTTTTAAAAATCAGGACATCAGGGATGATGTATCTTTATTCCAGGCAAGGAATTCCACTAGGTTTAATTTTGCTGCCTTAAATGACTCCCAAAGTGCTTGTGGTAAAATTGTGAAGTCTTATCCAGTTTGGGGTGTTTCTTTGTTAATTCAACTTCGACAGGCCACTAGGGCACCATCAAAAATTTACTTGGGCTTAAAGCAATGTACCAAACATACAGCTAAACCTGTAGCTTTCATTTTCAAGATCCTTTTTAGATCATCCCCTGAACAAGTAGAAGATGAATCGATAGCTAGGCTTAATCAGTAGTCACATGACTTTATCAGTAGTCACATGACCACTGCAACAATGGAATGGAGGACACACAAATCAGGCTTGTCGGGGACAGTCGTTACCTTGACCACAGCAGGAGACTCCAAGACGTCCGCCAAGCCCTGGGTGAAGACAGAGGGCCCCAGAGACAGGACGTCAAAGAGGAAGACTTGATTGGCGCAGCAAATCTGGTAATAATAGAGAAAGTTATCATGCGCTGATATCCACCACCAAGGCACTGTGCAACCTAATTACCCTTTCTCCTGTTCCCCAAACCATCTCACTTTCTTACGGCGTCAAAAACCCTCTCTGTCCTCTAGGTGCTGAGGTGGGATAAAATGACACAACCCTTGCCTCACTGCTGGATTTGAACTCCCAACTTTATGATCGCGCGTTACACACCCTAAAACCCAGGCCACGCGGTCCACATTACAATGCCACTTGCAATTCAAATTTCAATGATGTCTCACGTCATAAACTTTAATCAACATGTGTAAACTTCTAAGATGAGATAAACTTTTGCTAGGTCACATCAATGTTAACAAAACATACAACAGCAACCGCCCTTACATCTTCTTGCAATTCTCATCCAAAGTTGGCAATGCATAATTATGTAGCCTAGCAAAAGCAGGCCCTAATTTATGGGATATACGCTGTACACTGGCGTGCAAAGTCTGATCGCACCAACCGGTATTTTGTACAAAATATTTATTCCTAAATGATCATTAAAAGCCAAAAAAAATGTGAATAAAAACTATACCTGTGTCTTTGTTAATATCCATATTCTAATAAATTCATGCTTAATGTCTTGAATCTTCTCTTCAAAGGCACCAAAATGTTGAAAAGTGACATCGTTTTTGTTCCATGTGCACAAAGTGAACACAGAGTATCAATATTGGCAAAATCCAAGATGGTGGTGCCAAGTTCCCTGAAAAGCACGAAGATGGCCCATGGATCAGTAGCATGTACATGTATAGGCCCCATGAGGGTCGATGACGGCTTGGCACAGAGGCCAAGAGATTTGTGAAGATTTGGCCGTCCTGTCCCTCTCAAATCCAATTGAGAATCTTTTACATGTATTACTCCCTTTTATTCTGAGGTCTGTCTTCACGCTGAAGAGGACACTCCAGCTCGTCCCAGAGATTCTCAATGGGATTCAGGTCAGGACTCGGCGCTGGCCAACTCATCACTTCAAACTGCCAACTGTTCCCCATTTCTTCGATGGATTGGCAATGAATTCCTGTGTTACCCTCGCCGTGTGGGCCGGTGCATTGTCATGTTGGAATAGGAATTCAGGGCTAATCAAATGATGGGCAGATGGCAGCAAGTTGGTGCAGATATGCTCCTCGACCCATGTCGAGTCACCAAGGCCTGCAGAGCCCATACAGCCCCAAACCACGATGCCAGAGCCTCTGTGGTTTCCAGAAGGAACCACACAGTCCTCCTGAATTCCTTGCCAGAGGCCCGCCTGACATAAACACGGCTGTCCGAAGAAAGTGGTCCCAGTCGGTGGCCGTCGGCGGCAGACCCATGCTATCCGCCCTGGCAACTTGCTCATAAAGACCAGCATCAGCCCATTGATGTGACACAGCACTGCGGAGAATCGCAACACCGGTCACGCCGGCCAGATCAACTGCCAGGCTCAGGGGTGGTCTTGAAGTGGTCGTGTCTCGATGATGTGGAATCTGTCGTCCCACTTGGTCATCACCCGAGGACAGCCAGATCTTGGTTGGACATCCATGGTCCCAATCTCATCTAGCTTCCTCAGATTCGATCTGATGCAATGAGCACTTACTTCCAGTTGTCATTTATTCGTAACTCAAGACATTTTACAAGAGAACAGTTGTTTGAAATCATGCACACAAGTGCGATCAGACTTTTGCATGCCGGTGTACATGTACCACCCGTTTGTGTGGTCCACAAGATTCAAACTATGTGTAACATCAACCACTGCAACAAGTCCAGGCTTCACATTCATTAAAGCATGTCAATAGCATACCAGTGGCTTATTGAATACACAATAGCCATTAAGCTATTTCCAACATGGCTATGGATCAGCATCAGCATTCTGCCTGACATGAATAAAAAGCCTTAGCCAAAGAAGCCTGACACTGGCACGGTTACTGCCTTTTACATACAGCAAATATAGTCATTTGCAATGGCACATGTACATGTATGTAAATAGACAGAATGAAGCAGTTTTTTCTATCTCACCTGTAAGAGGGATATCTTGGCTCTGCGGCCCAACCTCTCCGCCTCCGTAGCAACACCAATCAGCTGCTGGGTTTTGATGACATCCACCTACATGTATATAGACAAATCAAAATAATGGTTAGGCTAAACCAAACAATAGCTGAGTTTTCCATCACACTGAAAAGAAAGGCAGGGTGGGTAGCTACATGTACGTGGCATACTTACGGCTTGCCTGAGCTTGGTCCCTGGGTGATGGAGATAAACGTAGCCCTCTGATGTCTCAAGGTTCAAGTCCTCATTATCTTCTGTCTCAGAGGGGCCAACTTCATTCTGTAAAAAGTCGTGCAAACGATCCGAAAAAGTTTATGCAAACAATCATCAAAGTTGGTGAGGCAAATTAACCCTACCCCACTAGGCTCCTGCACTAGAGAGCAGACTGAACCTCACAAAATCCAACAGGTGCATGTACTTGTCTACGTGTGTGTACTTGTACATGCAGGTTACTGTACCAAACCTGATAAACTCCAACAGAATGAGCCTGTTGGAGTCTGAGTGATATGGTATGGGTGGGTCTAAGCAGTATAGGATGAATTGCACTGAACGGTACCAAACCTGACAAAATAAGCCTTTTGCGAGTTAACTATGACCCAAATCTTCTTTCAATTCATGTGAACATAACAATTTGAATTCTCCTTACTAAAACTGTTGCTATACATGTACATGTACCTCGTGATTCGGGGCAAGCTTTTGCTTGGTTACATAAGAGACGCCTTGCAACAATACACTGTTCTTAATGGATAAGAAGGGCACAAAGGAACCAGTCCCATCCAGAGATGGTGGTCGCTATACAAAAGCCTGCCCCGAATCATGAGGTATAGCAACAGTGTCTTTAGTCTGAGGAATTCAAATCGTTATGTTTATGTGCAGTCAGATAACTCAGTGCACCAGATTTTATTCAAATGGTTTATTAAGCATAGTCCAACAATTGGTACAGCAAACTAGACAGTCACTGCACACAATGAACCCTGTGTGTCCCAACTCACAGGGAATCCAACACCATCTCCCTGGGCCTTTCATCCCATGTCTCACAAAATTCAACAAGTTCATCAGGTACGGTACCAAACCTGCCAAAACCTCACAAAACCTGCTGTTGGAGTATGGCAGGTTTGGGGTAGATAGGGTTAATGTTCTTCTTCTGACACTATCATTTTCAAAATGAAAATTAAAAAAAAATTCTTAGTTCAAAAATAACTATTGAGTATGCTTTTGAACTCAGTTTCTCTGATACTTGAAGTCTTTCTCTTTAACTCACAACTCACAGATTTACTAACTCAAAAACTTCTGCATTTGCAATCCCAAGCAAATTTAAATGCGTATGAAACTGTGAAGGAAGGAGCAGCGTGGATTTTGTGAGTCTGACGTTACACGTACACTGTACCTTGCTGGCCTGACTTGCTGGTGATTTCCTTGTCTGGTTTGAGTTGCTTTCTGGCACGTCTACCACCTCAACCACTGGCGGGAAAACAAAATGCACAAGAGATACAACGCCATGGTACACTACCTGTATCAGGGGTTGTTTGAAAGGACCTTTTGCATATCTAATACACACCGAAGGGAAAAGAATACGGACGATTCACACTAGTGCGCCTCCAAGAGTTTGTAACACATGGACCAATCACAGAGGGCGAAATCTGTCCATCTGTTCCCAATGCGCATTGGGTTGACCGATTTCGCACACTGTGATTGGTCAACATGTTGCAAATTCTTGGAGGCATGCTATTGTGAAACGCCCCTACTGCACGCAGTGCTTTTTGTAATTAAATAGCAAATGGAACTGTTGACCACTTCAGAGAGTGTTATTGATAAAAAGTAGACTCGAGCATAATAACACATATGTACTAATGATTATAATAATGAATTTTGTCGGTTTTCCAGAGATGCATGTGCATTTCTCTACTCCACTGCTCTACTCCACCAAACCCACTGTCCAAGGTGCTTGCATGGATGAATATATGGAAATTCATAATACATAATGTACCATTGTACAATCTCAGAAGTAGCAATATTCAAGATCCACAGAGTGGACGACAAAAGCATGCAACAATAAAATTTAAAGATTCGTGGCAAGAAAACAAGACTACTCCACAGAACATCTAACTTCTGTTTGCCTGTCTACTCACAATCCTTTATTTCTTGTCCATAGAAATGAAGCAGCCCTGTCAGTTTCTTGCCAGACGGCAGGATACTCACTTTAAATAGAAAAATACCATGGAGACTTCAATTTGTCAAATAGATTCAGAAATCAGCAGAGACCAAATGCCCCTGACACATAGTAACAGGTGTTCCCCACCCATAAACAACCCACAAGTGTCAAGGCCTTCTCTCCAGCACACAGTCATGCTAAGCTCCACATTCCAAGTAATCTGGCCTCCCATACATGTAATGTCCCCAGGGTCATGACAATATTCCGGGCTGACAACTCTGACAGTGAACCGAGTGCCCACTTTCCTGCATTGCTGGCAATGTCATATTCACGTAAAAGCTGTTTTGCTTGTTTGCCATTGTATTCTAAGAAAAATCATACACACCTCTTTCGAAAAGTATTGTACACATGTAAGCTCTCATTTTCCGTAAAGGAACGACTTTTCTTACAGTTAGGCTTCTTCTGTAAGATTCTCTGGCTTTCCCTGAAGGTTTGAGCTCTCATGATGGCTCCGACTGAAAGTATTTTGGCTGCGTTTGAGTTCCCCCATTGTTAGTGCTCTTTGTGGTTGTGCTTTTTAATGATCGGCAAGTCCCAGATCAACAATGTCACCACTTTTGTGAATGGGAAATTCGTGGTACAACTACATGAACACATTCTTTTGGAATGGTTCACGGTGTGTGGATGGCATACATGTGCACAATATTACATTTCAAATTTTGTTGCTATGAAACAGGGACCGAGTAAAACCTTTACAATATGGACATGTACAATATGTACATGTACTAGGGATTATATCACCAACGAGCTCTAATGGAGGGCTTCCATGGCTGCCATGTTGGGGGCCAGTGCTTTTGTTTCACAGGATATACACAAAGGAAGTTTCCCTGTGGAACAAAAGAGCCGCCCTGCAAGATGGCTACCATGCAAAGCCTCTTGTTTGGCTTCTGTACTGGCACTATGACTGAACAAGTGAAGTGTGAGTTCCGGGTGAAATTTCACTGTGATAAATGATCATACTTATACGTAAATCTGTGTCTGGTCCTGCCCTGCAAATGTTGCATGTGGATATGTTCTCGCGAGATGCAATTCGGCAGTAGTGCAACACTGGACCTTATTTCTGTTCTTTAAAAAAAATCTCTGAAGCCATGAATCAAGAAAGGAACACAAAATACTAAGCAATTTAATGTGGGATTCAATCTAAAACAACAAAAGGATATTCATGCAGCTATTTTAGAGGTACACCCCCCCTAAAAAAATTTGAAATGGATTGTGGTGGGTCTACATGTGTTATAAAGGGGACCAGTGATAGTGCTGTGCATCTAACGCTTGGCCTTATGATCACTTGATCATCAAAGCTTGCTTAATACTGACACACATGTATACACAATGCATGGCACAGTTGAAGTTCTGACATACTGCGATATTGAGAAAAAGCACTCGTCACAAGATTTCCGTTTTCATTCCATTTTTTTCCAAGATTGGTTGAGAGTACTTAGAGAACTCAGAGTCAATCCGGAGAAGCGACTTTGAGTTCTCAAAGTAGGTTTGGTGAATCTCCCCCGAATTAGTTCTGCCATTTCATGAGGTGTTTCAGCAAACAACAATAATAAGTCTATTGTTGACTTTGTTTTTTTTACGCAGGGGGTATCGGCTCTGAGCTGAAGTGCACCCCCAATCAGCGAAAAGAAAGACAGGTGGTTAAAAGCGGGTTCTTGCACGCGTTCTGCGTGTACGCAAAGACCATACGTACTGGAGTAAATTAGTTACGTGTACTCAGCATGCTCCATGTCAAACGCGCATATACGTGCGCGCCTCATGGCGTGCCTATGCGGTGAGTACCTAAAAAAACACGACCTCTTTTGTTCCGCTTAGAGCGGATATGAGTAAAATCTTGCCACAGTCTACTAAGAAAATTTTTCTTGATTCTCCTTGGACTTTGTAGGCAGCAGCTGAAGTGGAGTCGGGATGCAACATTCTTTCCTAACAGTAACCGTGTATCAAGTGACGTGATATTATTAGTATAAAATCCTGCCAATTGCAGCCATGCCCAGATGCCTGCCCAACCATGAAACGTGTGGGGCCTGATTGCCATGCCCATCAATGTTGTGATTGTCAGTATAGTATGGATTATCCGGAAGTGTCTGGCAATGCATATGTGTGGTTAGTGCTGGTGTCAGCCCGTTGGGCATTCTCACGGTCGGGATGACAGCATCTTGGTTCTTCTCTCTGATTGGTCAATGTGTGGCTGTTCGATATATCACACTTGCGCAGAATAAGGGACAACATAAAAATGCATTTTCTGCCAGAGTGCTTGCTGTTTCAGAGAGTAATTTCTGTCTGTGTTAAATATATACTGTGTTTGTTTTTCATTTTCTTTTCGATTATAATGCAACATTATAACTGTTTTTACATGCTAGCAATTTTGAATCTCAAAAATCTCTACATTTGTTGGGCCGTCCCATTTTAAATGTAGCAGACCAAAGATGGATATGTTGAACATTTGTGCCAAATTTTATGGCGACTGAACTGTGCTTATTATTGATTATCACGCCCACAAAACTGAAGAAATCGCTACAGCACGCCGATTGTTTAGTCTTGAATGCAATTGTGCGGCAGCCGAACCGCACCAAAAATCATTGAACATGGCACTTTCGAACCAAACCAAACTGGTCGGTTCAGATGTTCGGCTTTAATATGGTATGGCATTGATAGCCAGTCATATACAACCCGACAACATTTACATGGTTTACACTTCATAAATATGACGTTTGAACTCACACGCACGACGTTCAAACTCACAAACACGTCACGGGTCGTCACGACCTTCAAACACGCACACACCATGCACACACGACGTCCAGACGTTGGAACTTACAAATACGACGTTCAAACACACGACGTTTGTCTGTCCGTTTTAGAACACCATATGTACCACTTACCTTTCATCAGAGATATTTTCTTGCTATTGGCATCAAAAGAGTGTAAAATTCCTTCGAATTCATCGCCTCCAATTGTGGACACGCGAAGTTTCACTCCGACGTACGCCGCCATCTTCTTCAGTAATCTGGAAATAGTAGCCCGCCCTCAATAGTCCCCGTTCCATCGCGCACAGGTACACTGATGTAATTATTTAATTATCCCGTGATAGGCGCTTCATACCAGCCATCACGCTATCATCGGATCTGTCAGGTGATTCGTTAAGGATGATTTCAGTGTTTTCACCTGATGTAAGCGGTCATCGCAGTTTGTTTTATAAGCGCTTAGTGGGTCATTTGTGTGATAAATGCTGTATTTCTGATTCAGGATGGATCTTCCAACTGAAGTGAGTACATCATATAGCCTAGTTAGTAAGCACGGACTGATCGATAGAGCAGGGAAATAAAAAAACTTATACATATCAGGATCAGATACATGTAGGCCTACTGATGTAGATACTGGCATGAGTGGGGACCTGTGATTTTATGGATTTTCTCTTATCAGGTCGTGTCACGTGCATGCGTGTACTGGTAGATATTGTATTCTTATGTATTTAGTACAAACCATATACATGTAAGTACCTACTTGAATCACCCTGGTGACATTTCCTATCCTTCATTATAAACATGTCCTTTTGAGACAAGTGATGAGAAGTCTGCCTGTATGGCATGTTTGGTATGATATGTCTGGAGATTGAACCTTGCCTTAAATACTATGACTAAGTTGTGTGAAATAAGCATGTTATAAAATTTGAGAATTGTTACTAATATTAGGGTTAACAGGGCTTAAAACTAACATTAAGCTGTAGTCAGTTTCCCTATGGGGCAGCGCGGACATCCGGGATTCTCGCAAAATGACAGGTACTACGTCGGTGAAAACAGCAACCTTGGCGACGTACGCACACACCAGCCAGTATGAGGATCGGGTTATACAGTCTTTTCTTTGATCTGTACGTACACGCGCGCTCGTTGCAGTTGTTTTCACCGACCGCGGTGTGGTTGCTACCCGTATTTTTGTTCAACTCCCTGATGTCTGCGCTTCCCCATATGATTTGTTTCTCTTGTATACATTTAGCATATTTTATACTTTGTTTTTCAAGTTAAAGAGGTTGACACATCTGAATAGTGTGCACAGCATGTACTTTTATAAGTTCCTGTAAACTTAAACCGAGCCATACCATTGGTGATACCAGTACGATTAACTGTAAATGAAAAAAAGATCTGAAAATGTTTGTTCCTTTGTATTTCAGCTGATCTCATATATTATGAGATTCTTAACATCTTCTGAGCGCCATGAAGCATCCCTGGTCTGCAAGAAATGGTACTATGCATCGCTGGACCCTGCCCTGCACCAGAGCTCTGTCATAACTCTCCGAGCCAGTAATAGCACTGGGGAGAAGTTCCACCATCTGGGACAGCGCAAGAGCCCCAGCCTGGTGGTGAGCCACGTTGATGGGTCCCGTGACTGTGGCCAAGTCCTGGAGGAGATTGGCCACCACCTGGGCCCACATCTGACCAGCCTCAGCCTGCGGGGATCCGACGTCACCGAGACTGTCTTTGTCGGGATTATCGGCCACTGCCCTGGGCTGCAGCGGCTGGACGTGAGCTGCTGCAACAGCCTCTTCATGTCTGGGAACCTGCTGCAGAAGGCGGAGGACCGGGAGAAAGTGGCCCAGCCACTCGAGAATGTCACCTCCCTCAACCTTGCCTCCAACCGGTACCTGTCAGACATCCTCTTCAACAGACTTGTGGGCGTAATGCCCAGTGTGGCCAAGCTCTCGCTGGCATCCTGCAACATCATCCATCAGAGCGATGCCTACATCAGCGCTGATCGAAAGTCCAGTTCCTTCATGTCCTTGTCCAACTTCCTGATGTACCTGCAGCATCATGCAGACAAGATCCTGTCCCTGGACCTGAGCTGCACCGGGATAGGAAGTGAGGCACTCCATCTCATCAGCCATGTCAAGGGCCTGGTGCTAGAGGAACTGACCCTAAAAAAGTGCAGTGGAATCAGCAACGAGGGAGTCGCTAGTCTCGTCAAGAAGCAGTCCTCGCTCCGATCCCTCGATCTCAGCAGCGTAGCGTCCCTGAACAGCCCATCCCTGATCGCCATCTGCAAGTATCTACCTCACTTGGAGCACCTGAACGCCAGCGAGTGGTCCCAGTTAGAGCCCCAGGCATCAGAGTACCTCTCCTCATTGCGGCACCTGAAGTCTGTCAACATGTCCAACTGCTACCACGTCGGCCTGCACCACCTGTGCAAGGGACTCGGAAGCAGCAACTCCTCCCACCTGGTCTCGCTGAGCCTCGGGGGCTGCGGGTCCGTCCGCGATGAGGTCGTCTTGAGCCTCGTGAAGAGCTTACCTCAGCTTGAGCAACTTGATCTCAGCTCTTGCTTCGGCGTTGGAGATTCCAGTGTACATGCCATTTCAAGGTAGGAGCCATGAAACCATAGGGACTTACATTTACATGTGTTTATGTACTTCAAAGTCCTCATCAACTACTTAAGAAAATTCTCACAAATGTGACGTTCATACAATGTACACATGTAATACACTGACTTTGTATCACTTTTAAATTGACACTGAAAGATCTGTGTACATAGTGAAACAACTTGTACAACTTTCCTCAGGTTTCAATGTTGATCAACTTTTCACACCTGTCAAGTTGACAGATGATATTCTATATGCCTCTCGATAATGTTATTCATTAGAACCTACATGCGAAACTGACTCGGTGTATTTCTTTCATTCTTATCCCTCCTGGATTTCAGGTTTTTGCCCAATCTTAAGAAGCTTCGATTAGCCTGGTGCAAGAAGATCACCGACTTTGGATTGCTGGGCCTGGATCAGAATGCACCGGTCTTCATCACCGACAACGAAGCCACCAAGCACTACAGCGACCGCTTCACCAAGAGCCACAGCAACATGGGTTTCTTCAAGCGCCCGTCCTTCAACGAGAAGATCCTGAAAATCCCGGAGAAGGAGATTCAGAGGCTGATGGATGCCCCAGACCAGGTCAACCTGACGGCGCTGACCAGGCTGGAATCATTGGATCTGACGGCCTGCAACCACCTGACGGACATCTGCGTATCCCACGCTGTCCGCTTCCCCTGTTTGCACTCGCTCACCCTCAGCCTCTGCTCCAACATCACCGATCAGAGCCTGGCTGCCCTGGCAGCCAACAACCCCAACCTGGTGGAGCTGCTGATTGGCCACTGCCACCAGGTGACTGACGCAGGATTGAAGGTTCTTGTCCAGCGGCGCAGGGGGCTGAGGTCGCTGGATGTCTGCGGCTGCGAGAAGGTCACGGACGCCACACTGCTGGCCCTGGGCCAATACACCAAGCACCTGCAGCATCTCAACATCTCACAGTGCGGTGGCGTGACCATGGCGACAGCCGAGAAGCTACAGCAGCAGGTACCCACTCTGAGGTCACTGCAGATGGCGCACATATCCAGCGGTGGCTCTGCCTTCTACCACTACCAGCCAATCAGTTTTTGAGACAGTAAAAGCTCAATTACAGTGACCATTGACCATTGACCAGTCACTATTGATGCATGTCAAGTAAAATCTGACCAATTCAAGCTTCACTTTTATGTGAGAGTTTTTAAGTCCTAACACTTATTCAAAAAAATTCAGTCAAGATTTTTTCAGATAGAACGCACATATCATGTATGCAGAAGGATGTAAAAATAAACCAGCCTTTCTTTTAAATGTGTAGTTACTAGCAGAAAAACCATCTGCTGTTGAAATGGGACATGCTGAAGTATGTTAACACATTCACCAGGCCAGCTGGAGCTTGGGATGTGTACACACCCACAGGTTTGCACTGTGCCAACCACTTTCCATAATGATTGTCACAGAGCAGTTATTTTCTGCGTGAAGGTAGGCACTGACCATACAGTCATCCTGCTGTTGGTCCATGGGGACATTAATGTTCACAGTTTGTGTAATCTCACAAACAGTAGGCTTTATCTCCTTAACATTCTGGGAAGTATTCTTCCAAACTTTTCGGTGGAAAAGTTAATGGAATTATGTACCTTTTGTGTTTGTTAAAATACTGCAATATACCCAACGAAATACCAAACTTTTTCCCAGTGTGTGAACTTTCTAAAATAGCATCTCTGGGCATTGAATCCAAGGGCATTGACAAAGGATCATATCCATTTCCTGGTTCTAAAGATGAAAACATTTTCTAATTCAGTTCCTATCACCAGCAATAAAATCCCATGGAAAGTTTACACGACATTCAATGTGTACACATCTGCACAGCACACAGGTGTGTGTGCAGATTTGTTGGTTAGCTTGACGAAAATTTGTAAAAAGTCAGTTTTATTGAAAGTGGTTATGGTGGAAGTAACTCTTTATCAGATGAAGGTTTGAACATAAGGACCATAAATAATGCCCTTAATGCACATTTATAAAGCACAAACCATATCCCCCATGATAATAGACACTGTCAACATACATCCCCTCTTCCTACGGTAAATCTATTCTTGTAAAAAAATTCAACTTAATCTTCTTGAAGTTAACATGTACATGTACCTCCATATTGTATAAAATGGTAGTCATTTTATGTCAGTTTGTAATTTAATATTTCAAGCATTCGATGTCTCAGATTGATTCTTTGCTTGTAAACTATTTTGACACATCTTTGATTTTAAATATAATTGTAATGTATATGTGTGTAAATAAAATTCTGAGATGATTTTTACACTTGATGCATATATTATACAGAGAGAGAAATATCAATTAATCCTTGGAGAAATGCAAGGGGGAAGATTTTGATTAGATTTGATACCCACAACACTGAAATTATTTGGTTAAAGTGTATTTATAGTTTTGAAAGTTTAAATTTGAGAAATGCCTTATTATACATCATCATATACATGTACATCAATATTTTGCGAGATTGTGTTGATACAATCAACTGCCAAGCTGTAAGCAGTTTAATAACGTACACGGGAAAGCTTGAATTCTGTGGGAACCCTCGGAAAACTTTGGGTCCACGTTGTTTTTGAACAGTTGATTGCTTTGCAAATTTAATGCCTAAATCCACATCAAATGAGTAAGTAGTCAGGAGCAATGTACATGTACACTACATGACTGTGAAGGACTGGTAGTGTTTTCTTCCATAATAGCTTTTTCTTTGCTGTAAACTGGGCTTGATTAAATGTAAATCTTTGCAGGATTTGAAATTTGATTAGTTTTTTACGGTTAAAAATAAAAATCAAATTATGTGTCGTTTACATCCTTTCTGTTCCTGTGACAGACTTTTTTCAGTAATCGCATAAACTTGTAGGTACAGTAGTGTAAGAGGCTGGAGAACTCAGTTACTAAGAGTCGGTAGGAGTTTTCCTGCACGAGCCTTGATGAGTAGTCAAGGGCGGATCCAGAAAACCAAATGTCCAGGTGGTGGAAGGGGAGAGGTGGGCAACATTTTGGAACTTTCATAAAGTACTAACTTTCTGTGGCCTTTGTGGAGGTTGCTGGTACATTGTGGTGCATTTTACACCTCACCAATCCGTCATTTCCTCTGGCCAGTTGGTTCTGTCATTATTTCCACTCCTTGACAAGAGTGACTGGAAGTGTTATGAGTCAGTAGCTGCAGAATGGGCGGTGATACCCCTAGTTAAATGACGTGTGGGGAAAAAAAGTACCACGGAATTAGGACATTACTCGTATCAGTACACAGGTTTGTATAATTTCCTGCCAAGGGTTTTCAATAAAGAGTAATCATTGAAAGAAATCTGATAGTCATTCTAACTAGCAGAAATTCCATTTGGTGTACTTTGTGACGAATTTTGTTACTCCCAAGATTTGAATCAAAGTGCATTAACCCCTACATCCTGCGGCTTTATGTGAGGATTAGTGCATACCACACGTGCATTCTATACATTATGCAGCTGCGGTTTCAATGTGGGCCTGCTGCTGGACAGAGCTTTGCATACCGCAGCCCAGCAGTCACGGTCAACAGAATCCCAGCCGGAAGGGGTTAACAGTTGTCCGGTCATCGTCGGGTGCAATGTACGCTAATGAACTGTGATCAAACTGTGATGATGAATGCATTCAAACTGTACCCATTGGCCACCGTGACTCTACCCTCTGGTCCGGTGTTCAGTGCCACATTTGGCCCAAGTCTTCCAGTGTTGAGCACTGGAGATTCAAGGGAAAAAGCTGCGGAGGCGGATGGATGGGCCAAGTCTCAATAATCAACACAAAGACCGGCCATGACCGATCACTGATGATGGAGAATGACTGTCAAGGGACCAAAACTATAGTGCTGACAAAAATGACAAATGGACAAAAATAAACACTAGTATTTTTGTGTTTTGGTAAACAAATGTGATTTTATGGATTTGAGATAGAACGGGCCTTTCCTTGTTTTTCTCCACAAGTCTCAACATCCCAGGAATGAAATCACAACTTTTCATTGATAAGTGTCGGATAAAAATATTCTAAAAACATTTCTGCATCTACAGAATGACTCCAAAATAAGTACTCCTGTAACATTTTCACAATATTACAGCACAGTCCCACGGCCTGGAGTCTAGAGAATTTACTGAGGAATACGCAGTGACGGTCATTTCTGTAAGTATTCGTCCATATGGGAAACAGGTATCCATTTCAAATAAAAAATTCTTACCAACCCCCCAACCCTTTTCATTACATTTTTTAACATTTTGACCTTTATTAAAGTTGACCAAAAATGTGAGTGGCTTTTAAGTTGATTCAAAATGGGGAAGTTTTCCCCAATAAAACTCTCAATGACTGGCATTAACATTTCCTTCACCCTGGACAGTGCACCAAGACCTATGGTGACGGTCTCTGGGCTTACTCTGTGAACTGGTAAATCTTACAATCTTACATGGTAGCCATCACAAATAACCTCTAGAAATTAGCATATCGACAATCAAATGTTGGGCTTTGTATAAAATCTGTATACAAACCATGCTTACGTGCATCCCTCTGATTAGTAGAGAACACGTGCACTCCTCTCATTACAAGAAGTAATTTGTGCACATTCTGACGAATGCTAGCTGTACACACTCTGCACAAAGCACCGAGGGCAGGCCTTCACTGTTATGGGGACAATTTCTTTTGTCAGGCAAATTTTGGGGACATTTCTCTGACCCACAACATTTTCGGTCCCCCAAATTTAGTGAAAAAACGTACGTGCCTTCAACTTCGGAACAAGTATGTGTTCTTTACAACGGGCCAATTTTATACAGCTGCTCAGCAGAAACATTTTCTCAGCACTGCAATACATACTAAGCAAAATTAGTTTATCGGTAAAAGTGCCATAAATAGAGACAGGTTCTCTGCTCATTTGTGCTTAGCGTAAAAAATTTCCGAGTAATGTTTTCCTGCCAAGTGCAGCTGCATGAACTGCTGCCTGCTCCATGTTAGTAGACCCGACAGACCTCCCTACAAAGTCCCTATAGAGTACCGAAGCAAATATGTCACACACACGATTGTGTGTGTAAAACACATTGAGCCAGCGTGTGAACCAATGCGTGCGCGTTACTCCATTCGTTCACACTACACTTTCTGGTTCTAAGTGATGTCACACCTCGGTATTCTATACCCAAGCTGTTTAAAGTACTCCATAAACCTGAAAAAGTTAAAACTAGATGTCGATGTACTGAACCATTTGCAAGCATACATCTCTGAGAGGCCACACTTGAGTGGGTCATGTCCCATTTCAGTCAGGACAGCAGGCTCAGGTAGGCGGAGTAGCCCGCCTCCCGGTAGGCCTGGGCAGCTGCCACTGGGTCGGCTGCCTGCAAACACACACACAAAAAAAGCAGAGCTACATTAACCCTAACCCTATCAGGTCCTTCCAAGTCCACTGGAAGATTTCAAAGGATTGGGGAAGGTAGAGCCAAGCCACAGGTGCTTGCATTTTACATGCAGCTTAATGCTCCTTGAGAGTCAAAGCAGAAAGGGTATGCCATTGGTTTCCTGCACAGAAGGCGTTTTCAGACGATTCACCAAAATTAACGGCGAGAAAGTTCAGAAATTCGAGCTGAGTTCCCCCTCTTTTTCCCGATACCACAATAAAAATGGGGGCGATTCAACCCCTCACAGATTACATATCAATTCCCAAGTTATATTTTGACGACAGCCTCATTCTATTAACCCTAACCTTCCCCAACCACACAGAATTAAACATTAGTAAAGTGTTTAATTCTGTGGGGATAGGTCTGGTAAGCCCATAACAGCTGGCTTTTGCATTGGGTTTGGCATACCTCAGAAAAACAAAGTCCAACAGTCTCTGGCACAAAGTCCCATATGGGTGTTTAACTTTGTGGGAATGGGGAAGGTTAGGGCCAGCAACCCTTGGGGGTTAGGGTTAAAGGAATAAAAGTGTGATATGGTGGTTATGATACATTACGTAGGGAACGATAACAGAAAAACCTAAAGACCTGCCTATATGTCATGACAATAATTATGTTGGTGGCCGATGGTTACAGTAAAAGAATTGGTCCAAAAAATCACATAAAACCAGACCAAGTTTTGAAACTTGTAACTATCATTTGATTATAAAGATAAACAAAGAAATTGACCGGAGCAGGATTTGAACCTGCGGCCTCCGGAATACCATACCGGTGCTCTTGCCACCTGAGGTATCCAGCCCTCAATGTTGGCGGCTCTTCCCATTTGTCAATATCTTTGTTCGGGGAGGGGGGGTGCTGGCCAGAAGTCATGAAACAGGGTGGTGAAACAGGGATCACTCAGAGAGGAGAGTGGTTGTTGAACATAAATCATATATCTGGAATACCATACCGGTGCTCTTCCAACTGAGCTATCCAGCCCTCAATGTTGGTGGCTTCTCCCATTTGTCAATATCTGTGTTCTTATCTGTTTACACCCACCGACATGTGGGGATCTCAACTAATGAATCTAAGTATTCATCAGTTTTTAACCTGGACACCTAGGGGGTTTTGCTCATGTTGTTATGTCACTCACCTGATATATGCCCCTTCCCACAATGATGATGTCACTGCCTTGCTGGGCGATGACCTTTTCCGGGGTCAAGTACTGCTGGCCCAGGGCGTCATTCCCCTCTGCAAGTTTCACACCTGCATCAGATGTGACCCAATATAACTGAATAATTGACCTCTGAAACACATCAAAACAAACTTGCAATTCATGCCAGCAAGCGTGACAACTTTTTCCATTTCCAAAACAGTGGGGCTATTGTAGCAGGTTTAAGAAAACAATTACATGTTTTAATTTCAACATGGTGAAAATGATACTTGTAACTGTAATTAATGAACCCCCTGCATGGCACCTCATTGTGAAATGCACAGGTAGCAACATCACATGTCGCATCTTCCTAGGACAAAGAGCTCCTTTTCACATGCCAAGTCACCTTGCACTAAAGTAAATGTTCCAGTAATGAATACAGTAAACTATTGTTCAAGTAAAGATAGATGTTTTGGACCATCCAGCAGGCTACTTGGAACCGGGCCCTCGGGCCTGGTTGCACTGCTGGTGATCAGTAGCCAATTAACTTATCAGCATGGAGGGAAGCCTTTACAAGAAAACACTGTCAGCGATGACCGTGTATGTCGCGAGAGTTGCAGTCGATGGCAAAATGTGAGTGACTGGGACATTTTACGAAATGGTTCAACTAGGGTTGTCGGAGAACGGCTGTATTGTGCACTGTTGAAAAAGGTCTGCTTTGAGAAACCCCCTATGTCCTATGGTGCACAGTTGGCGTTAAAACAAGAGTGATTCTTGCATTATGGGTTGGGTCATTCTTAGTACACATGTGAATGCATCCGTGTAACATCGCAGCATGTTTTCATGTGTCCAATTTGCAATGGCTGAACGAAAACTGACCCAGTGCTGAAAGCTGTCAAAGAAAAGGAAAAACAAGGTCTGTCTTTATTACCGGGAGTCATGTGAATGAACTTTGGATCCGAAGACAGCGCTGACGTACATATAAATCCAATCACAAAGTCGGTGTGATCCTCCGCCATCTTTACGGTTGCTACGGAAATAAACACAATCTACAACAGTTTGAAACAATTAACAATAGAGCTGGAAGAAGCAACTTCTTGTAATATATATGAATGTGCGTTCTTTTTATTTTACGTCAAAAATAAAAGAAGCTTTATCGCTTAGTACAATCGCATTTTAGTATTTGGGTTGAATGGTGAAATTCATGCATGTGGTTACTGACGAAAGGCTCTCTTAAATAAACCAATAAAACAGTTATATATACAGGAAAGACTTAAATACATTTAAGAGCTTACACTGTGTGTATTCTCCGGTTGCTAGGTTTCCTGCTGAGCTCATCTGGCCAATGAGGAGGCAGGCCCTCCCTTTGGCCACGCCCACTTCTTTCAATCCCTGTACCACCCCGGCCCCGGGGACGGCATGCGCATTGGTGATGTGCGCCCAGTCTGCGATCTTGTAGAGTCCGGAACCATACTGGTGCTTGACAGTGTTTCCAATGTCGGCAAACTTCCTGAAGACAGAGAGAAAACAGTTCATGGCAATAATATTTTGTTAAAAATCCACAGAAAAATTACTCTCTACTCAATCGCAGCAAAGCCCAAGTTTGCAAACAAACAATTTATACTTTTTTAAAGAAAATGGACATTTATGGCTAATCTTCTTCTGTAGGCACAGCCATGCCTAGCATCTGTGCCTGATTGATAAGGTCACTCACTGGTGATATTTAACCCCTTTGCACCGGGAATTTCTTCCCAAATGCCGACTCCAAGAATTCCAGCCTCGCTTGGCCACGAAGGCCACCTGCCAATTCGCAAATTTTCGGTTTGTGGCCCTGCGTGCTCTGCATGCTTTGAATTACACGGTGAAAAGGCTAATTGTTGGGTGGCATGCAGCTCTAGTCACCCTTCCACATTCCCGTAGCCTCTTTTCAAAGTGGGGAC